AAATATTAAAATAAAATCGATTGTAGGCGCCCAATGCGATTTATAACCCCGGTATCAAATTTGAAACTTCAGGTATTTAAGGGTTAAATAAATAAATATATGTATTATAATTAAAAATATGATACCTGCAGGCTTTCATAGATACGGTGTGTAGGACCAGAGATTTGATACTTAAACACTAAGAAAAAAAAACGTATTGACCATAGCTGATCGTTTCACACTCAACTTGTTAAAGTATTTTATCTAAATAGGTATAATTCAAGTATAGGTGTCAGAAGGACCCATGTCACGTCTAAAAAAATAAAAAATAAAAGTAAAAAAGTAATTTAATTAAGAAAAAAAAATTCTAACCATAGACTATCTCCTAATGCGCTAGAGACAACACTAAACACAATTGAATTCACAATATCTTTCTTAAGTCACTTAAAAATAATTCAAATTAGGATGCACAACACTGACATTTCACCCAATCGATTGTTTTATAAAACAACATGAAATCCTTACATACCAACGCACAGCCATACATAACTGTGTATTATTATTCTAACCAAATATGTAAACCAGATCTCAAGCCAATATCTATGGGTTTATTACACTATAACACAATCATCAATGGTAAAATTTCAGGCTGCAGCTGAAAATCAGTGCTTTGCTTTTAAGCAAAACTATTACTGAGCTGTAGCCTATTTGGGTCACTGCGACACACATGGCGAAACCATATTTTCATATTTTATCTTTTGTTGTATATTTTGAAAACTGTAAATAATCTGATTGTATAAACTCATTTGTAAATTTACGTGTGTCATAAATGGCTCAAATAAAAAGTTTATCTATCTAAAATGAGTATTTTTAAAAATTTTATTACTCCATATAAATGGGGGGGCAGGGATCGTTAATAATACGGACTACCAGTCTCATTGCTAGCAAATTACCCTGTCAGGTCGACTTCCACGTGGGCCCCTCTGTAAACCATCGTGCTGAAGTCCAGGTGTATTCATCACGGTGGCCTAATTGACCTGCCTTTTCATTCTCACCTATCATCTCTCACTGGTGCCCCGCCAACTTATACCGTTAGCACAGTTAGGGTAACAATTCCATTATCCATAAAAAAAATCATATATTCTACTGGACATATACAACGCCATCTAGCCGAAAACTAAACAGACTGTACTAAGCGTATTAAATAACAGACAAACATACTTAATACCTATATATTAATGTAATATATGTTTATTTATATAATTTCACAATAATAGCACATTCGCATTCGTAAAGTAAGTTAAGTTTCCATAAATATAAATATTAATATGTACCTATTCATAGTATATATTTATCCGTCATACTCGTGAACAGGTGTTTCTAGTAGGATCTTTTTTTTATCAATATATTGATGTATTCACATTTTTGTTCTAAACTCGACTTTTATATGAAAAAAGCAACAGCGGAGTTTCTTGCCTGTTCTTCTCAACTGAAATTGGGTAGCGGTAGATTCATAAAAAAATTACTATTCCAAAATGCTTATAATTAAGTTTAAAAAAATATATATTTTTAAAAATATATATATTATTTTATTTTACATCTCTATTAAATTGGCTGGATATTTATACCTTTATAAATATGAATATGAATTTATAATTAAAAATATTTGTAAAATAAAAAAAATATCTCTAGGTATCTGTTGTTTAGTAGTTACTAGCTACCCACAATAAAAGCTCTGCTTAGTTTGGGCCTAGATGGCATAATATTTATATATCCCATGGTATTTATAAAAAAATGCCATATATATCTGATATATATATGGTCATAGGCGTAATTAAAGAGGGGCCCAGTCAGATGTCGGTAGGGGCCGCCCTAGACGGACGTATGTCGACCAAATAGGCGACGTGCTGAAGAAGGGCCAAATTAAAAGTACCCGTAACCGGCGAGCGTGTATGAAAAGATTGATGAATGTGGAGGAAGCGAAAGAGGCTTGTTTGAATCGAAGCATTTGGCGTCCCATTGTTTCTGTCTACCCTAATGGGAGACAGGCGTGACAGATATGTATGTATGTATAGGCCCAGTAAGCTGTGCCCACCCGTGCTGTGGACATGACGTCTTTTTTTTTTATACAACTTAGAATGGCAAACAAGCTGACGGTCCACCTGATGGAAAGTGGTAACCGTCGCCTACAAACATGAGCGGTACCATGGACATAACAGAGTATACTGTTTTACCCATGATACTCCCCATGCGTTGCCATTCCTGAGGACTCAGGTGTTATTTCTCTGTACCCAGTAAATTCACGCCATATCCCACCCTTCAAATCGAAACACAGCCATGCAAACACAACTGCTTTACGGTTGAAACACGAATAATATACCTTTTATAAGAGGCTAGGCCCTCTCAGGAAAATAATATGAAATACACCAATGGATATAGTGTAAATATAAAAAATGGACATATATAAAGGGAACAACCTGGGAAAGATGGATGGATCATATGGAAAAATTAAGGACATGACATGAAAGAGGAATGAGCATGTATCATACCTATGATGGTTGATAGGGATTTATGGAAAAGGAAGTCATACCCGACCCCAAATATACGGAATGATTTAATTTTATAGTGTAATAACCCATTTTCTCTCAATGTTTACGTCCGCTGTGTGTGTGTATGAAACCTGCTAACCGAGGCCGGCCTTCTGTTTAGAGAGTTGTTTCTGTCGGAACTCCTCTTGCGCCAGCCTCTGGCGCCGCTTGCGTTCCGCGCGCGCCTCCTCCTCGTTCACACCGTCCGCCACCTCCTGTTTACGGGAACTGAGTCTTATGATCAATGTACGTGGATACATTATCCATTGGTCGGTTCAGATGTTTTATATAACAAAAGTGGAAACAAGTTTTCTAACAATAAAATTTCTTTAAAAAGTATTTATAATAAACTTTATTAAACTAAAAATACCATAGTAGTGCCATATTTTTAGTATTAAAATTTCGAAATTATATGATAAAACTGAAATGTTATAATTAAAATTTTGACTCACAAAAAACCGACCACTGTTGTGGTAAAACCCGTTATTTCGATTTCAAAACTAAACTACCAATTTCAGAACCTCCTTTTCAACCAACTTCAAAAAGAAGGACATTCTAAATTTGGTTTTATTTCTTTCTAAATCTGTCACCTCATAACTCTGTCCCTTCTAAACCGATTTGGAAAATTCTTTGTTTATCTGAAAGTATGTACTTATAAATTGGTCCCATAGAAGTTTTATCAAAATCAGTTCAGTAGTTTTTAGATCAAAACAACTGTCTGTTATGTCCATAATACTGCTCATGTCTATAGGCGACGGTTACCACTTACCATCAGGTGGGCCGTCAGCTTGTTTGCCATTCTAAGTTGTATAAAAAAAATTAAAAAAAAAAACTGGTTTTATCAAAATTGTAGTCGATTTTTGTGGGACACAACCTTTAATTATATTAATTGTAAAGCAAAATTTTAAATACAAGTGACTGCTGCATATTTAGGGATATATTATGTGCAACTGTGAGCAGGAATAATGTTATAATTGATTACAAGAGCGCTTTTAAAATATAAAAAAAAATATTTGGATTTTAAAAATTGATATTTGACGTTATCAGACTGGTTCGAAACACAGAAAACCCTCAAAACATAAAACTGAACAACTATCCTTAAAAGAACATAAAATTTAAAAACAATGTTTCAAACATTTCGTAATATTTTAAGTGTTTTTATTGCAAAGTGCACAAATCGTTGGACTGCCTATTTTTATTTTCAAATAACAATTTAATTCGCATGAAAAGGTTTGCTGGAAAAAAAAAATCTTAAGAGAGATAAGCTCGCCTTTGTACATTACATAATTTTTTTTTATCACAATGTGTACGTTAAAGAATAAATAAATAATAAACTGTGCGGTTAAATGATTAATATTATGCAAAGTACAAAAATAATTGACGTATCGTGACTATGAAAAACTTCAGTTTTATGGAATGAATTCTAAGGAATTTTAGTATGATATAGTATAGTATAGTCCCCCCACTAGATGCAGTGACGACCCTAAAATGTGTTGCAGGGAGTCAGTGGATGCAGGTGGTTCAGGACCTTTTTTTATGGCAGTCTATTATTTATTTTATTTATTTTTTTATTTAACACTTTATTGCACCAACATAACAGGATTTGTTGAACAATTTTCAATAAGTATAGTAGTATAGTCTATGGGGGAGGCTTATGTCCAGCAGTGGACGAATTATGGCTGAAATGAGGATAGTATAACGTTTTCATCTACAATGGTGAATTTTAAATCATAAACCCCTTGTTGCTGACGTACTGACAGCTTTTATAACTTTTATATATATATTTTTCTCTCGTTTAGACGTGAAACACGTGTTGCAAAACGTGCGTGGACAGAATGGCAGTCGGTGATTGATGGCTAATATGGAAGGTTGTGAAACTTCTGGCAATAATTATAGTAGTCAATCTTCGAATGTTGGCAGTCTAATTCTAATTAACTAACCAGTGATATGGACATTCGCAAATTAAAAAAAAAATATATTTGATTAATTTCACAATTAACATATTTATGGACTTTAAGAGAGACCTATATAATCCATGGCAATATTACTATCATGTTTATTCTTAATTTGTTGTCACAACTTGTCAACTAAAATTTATATTATCTGTGCTAAGATATTTACTATACTCAAATATTTCACGTGTTATATTCGGGAAAAACCTAGTTTGAAAATTCAAAAGTTTCCAATTTTCAAATTCGAATTTAGAATAATTTACAAACATCTATGTAAGAATAAAAAATAAAAGATTAAAACACCTGCATATGAAATTTCAATAACCTATTTTAACAAGAAAACAAAAAAAAAACTTAAATATTCCGTGGAATTCATCCCTCTAATACTCCGTTCACTTATTTAAAAAAAATGTACGCTATCATTATATCTAAGGTCGAAACAAAAATAAATGGTCGAACATAAAACATAACAATCAAACATTTTGCAATTCCAAACAATTTATTACAATAAAAAAAAAACATAGGTACCGCATAAGTTCACACAATACTTCTTATTTTTAAACTACATATATACCTATGTACAGTTCGCAATTCCACATTTAAAGATGAAGACACATTTACCCAATTCCTATGCCTATATAGTATTTAAAAAAATATAATAAACACTAGAAAATAGTCGAAAAACTTAGGAGATATATCCAACTTTGTAATTAGCACAGTGTTCACCACAGCTGTATAAATGCATGCTTTAGTCTAACGCATGGAGATTAGAGATTCATACCGAGTTTTTTGCGGGGTAAGCAGAGAGAATAGAATTGACTCCTTTTTCAAATAGCACACGGTCTATATGTTACTTACAAGTTACACAAACTTGTGAAGCTAGATAGCGTTTATATATATATATATATATATATATATTTAATTAACAAATTTTTATTTGTTGTTTAAAAACTCGAAGCCCTTCTTATTTCTACGTGCACAGCACACACTTAGTTTCTTTAAAAGGGACTTAATAAATTGTATAAGTAAATAAAAAAAAAACAATTTTTTTTTAATTGCTTACAAATATAACATTTACTTTGGTAAACACTGACTAATATTTATTGCTTAAACCAACATTTCCGTTTCAATTAATTGATCATTTCATTTCATGATATATTTTTGTCTTAAATGTCATATTTGGATATTTAAAATGTACCGACAACCCGTTCAATAAACAACTTGTTTATTTCATACCGTTTAGTAATTTAGTTGAGTGGCAATTTAGCAGCTAAACTTTATACAACTTTGAATGGCAAACGAGCAGTCGGCCCACCTGATGGAAAGTGGTAACCGTCGCCTATATACGATACTTGAACAGTACAGTTCGAATAATACGCTACTGGCTTTCCTGTGAACTAACGTATTACGTCATGTTACGTCTCTGTACTTTGTAATTTCACTGTTATATCCAAATGGTTAAAACCGTAACACAACCGTGCCAGCACAACAGTTTAGCGGGAAAACACGAATGGAATAGAGGTGAACCTGTGGAGACGAATTGTCGACAGTTTCCAAAACTACAAATCTATTTAAGGCGGGAAAAACTACGCGTAAATAATATTCAATACGTGGTCGTAAAATCGATGCGGTAATAAAAATTACGCATGAAAAATTCGTAATGAATTCTATCTAGATTCTAGATAAAAATTTATTCAATGTAACAGATTTAAGATCCAATCGATTCCTGACTAATTCGGTACAATAAGAAATATTTCGTATAGAAATGTTGCATTATAGTAAATATCAAATATGTGCATTGGATTTATTTAAAAATACTATTTAAAACTGTCATCTGTTAACGCGATTTATGGTTTGTAAGAGATGGGAATTTATATGATCATTTATATAAACTTAAATAACTCCAGTTAAACCAGTTAACCATGTTGGACTATAATTTTTTCAGTGGTGGCAACACTGTATCTAACATGGCAACATTTGTCAGAGTATTTTAATGTGCAAGTATCTGTAAAGCCAAAGCCAAAAGAAGAAAAAAAAAGTATCTTTTGTTGTTGTCTTTGATTCCCTTCCTTGCTCTGCCTTGTAATAGAAACGTAACTGTGTAATCCTGCATCGTTTATAATAAATGGTATCAATTTCTTAAAATCAATTTCTATTAATCCACTGTTCCACACAGTGGATTAATAGGAAGATATAAAAATCCCAAAAAATCATAGTTTAGCTAAATGATGGCTTTAATTCCCATCTCTTAGAAACCATAAAACACGCAGCGCGAAAATTTAAATATTAATATAACTGCGGTGAGCACAGATGCGTATACTGTCTAGCAATTTCTGTTCTAAAAACATAATTCACTATCGTTTATGGCCTAAAGGTCATAAGCGATTCTCCGTCCAACATCAATCTAGCACTAACATTTCAATATAACATGGAAAAATTCTTTAAAAAATAGTGTACCATTTCTGAGATACAACTTACACCTCCAACACACCTAATATTACCTAAAACTAACTAGCAACCGGAAGTAAACTAGTCTATAATCTATACAACTATACGACAATGTGGTATAAAAACCATAAAACGTGTAAACGAGAGCTTTACTTAAAATCAGCATGAGAAAAGGTACCTGTAGATTTAACGCCCTATTCATAAAAAACTAAAACCCACTTACAAAACCTTTTTAACTGCTAATGTGACACACATTTGTTTCAAATTAAGGATTTAGCACAAATGAAAAAGACAAAACATTTAACAGCTTTAAAATAGGTTTATATGGTGTTTTAATTTTTTTATGAATAAGGGGGTGTGTATGTATAGTGTTCGTACCATAGACCGACAATGTCTGTATATTTCAACAAAAATAATTAAATATTTTTTAATATTCCAGAGCGAAGACGCTCAGCAATAAAACTCCAAAACAATAATCATTGCATAAATTGTACTTATCATTAATTTGCAAACTATTTCTTATTTTGCTTTTAATTTCCAAAATCATGTTCACCAAACCAATGTTTTTTTAAAGAATCTTTTTAGACGATTAACATTCTTGCCTGTTACACAACCATTTTTATCTAATATATAAAATTCTCGTGTCACGGTGTTTGTTACCAAACTCCTCCGAAACGGCTTTACCGATTTTTATGAAATTTTGTGTGCATATTGGGTAGGTCTGAGAATCGGCCAACATCTATTTTTTATACCCCTCAATGATAAGGGTGACCCACCCCAAAATATTTTTTTAAATTTTTTGACAATTATTTTTTTTATTTTATTATAATTTAGCATTGAAAATACATACAACTTTAAATTTTCATCGTTTTACGATCAACCCCTGTATTTTAATTGCGATTTTTATATTTCGCAATAAGTGGTAAAACAACGTTTACGGGGTCAGCTAGTATATATATAAAATTATTTAATTATCTGTTAAGTTTGGCAGGTCTACAGACATCGTCGATCTCGCGGTATAAACACTTAAGACTTGGAGGTGGGCGGCTCGGGTTGCCCGTTGTTGCTTGGCGACGAGGACTTGAGCGACGCGTCCTCCGGGAACTGCTTCTCCACCTGCTCCGCGACCCACTTCTTCACCTTCTGCTCGGTCCAGAACCCATCGTAGAAGATCGTCGGCTTGATCCAGCAGCCCTGGTTCTGCGGCGGCGGCGCGTACTGCACGGGCTCGCCCTCGGGCCCGGCCTGGCCCTGCCGCACCCCGCACGCGTTCTTGCACTCGACCGAGCCCGAGCGGCTGTTCACCACCAGGTTCTTCGGCGGAATGTTGAAGTTCAAGTTTACGTTACCGTGGTGGCGGTCGTAGCTCTCGTACGTGAAGTGCCACGGGCCGGCCGAGTACTCGTAGTAGGTGTTCGGGAAGAGGTGCGGCGGCGCCACGTGCGGCGGCGCGAGGCGCGGCGGCGGCGCGTACAGCGGCGGCACCACGCCGCCCATCATGGGCAGCACGAAACTTACGTTGGGGTTGGCGGCGCGCGGCGGCGCGGGCGGCTGCGCGGGCGGCGGGCCGGGCGGCGGCGGCGCGGCCGGCGCGACCGGCGCGGCCGGCGCGACCGGCGCGCGTGTCGGCGGCGGCGGCGCGCGGCCCGGCGGCAGGCCGGCGGGCATGGGGTGCGCCTTGGCCACGGGCGGCGCGCCGGCCGCCGCGTTCTTGATCGCGGGCACGGCGGGGTGCGGCGAGCGCATGTTGGTGGCGGTCGAGCCGCAGCTGTCCGACGAGTCCTTCCTCGCGTTCTTGTTGAGCGGGGAGTTCTTGGGCTCGGTGGGCTTGTTGGGCAGGTTCTGGTTGTTCTCGGGCAGCGGCTCGGACGGCGGGGCGGCGGCGACGCCGTTTATGTCATTCTTGTTGATCTCCAAAATCTCCATTAGTTCGGTGGCGACGCTTCCGCCGAAACTGAGCAGCGTCTCTCGCAGGGCATTTGTTACAGCACACTGTAAATAGAAAATATTGTATGAGTTAATAAAATTTGTTAACTACCCATAATCATACCAGTACTGGAGTTCTAAGTTTTAAACAAATTACAGTTTAATGTTTTGGCATTTGTAGAATACTTAATCAAACAAGTGGATCATTTTAAGAATTGTATTTCTATTATTTAGAAATAGAAAAACACTAAAAACAACATAACATTATCGTAAAAATGATTGAAGATTGAGGTTGAATTTCATATTAAAATATGTAAACTCACCTTTCTAGATTTATAAATTGCAAATCCTTTATTATTGGCAATAGATGTGGCGTAGCCTATGTTCTCTCTGTGTATGTCAAAACTTTTCACCGTAACTGAGACAAATGCCACCACGCCCGCACAATACTTTCCATTTGTAAAGTCAACAAAATCTGCAAAACAATTTTTTTTAAACATATATATCAGAGGTGACCGATTTAACTAAGATATAAAGATATATTTATTTAACAAAGTATGTTTGTATTGGCACAAAATTTATCATTGCTTCCTACACTAGGCTTAGCCTGTCCTGTAAGAAGCAGTACCCGTGTTATCATATACATGCATATAGATATTAAACATAGGTTCTTTAACAGTACTGACAATTGTGTAACTAATTTGTATAATGCAATTATTTCTTTTAGATCTCATCACCAATACACATGTATGAATAAGTATTATGAATGTGTGTGTGTACATGCGTGTGTGTGGTGTATGTGGTATGTCTCTCTGTGTGTTTTTTTTACTAAATCCAAGATCTTAACTAGATCCAAGATCTACTGTTTACTAACGAAACCCTGTGCGATCTACCAATTACATACTTCTTGAAATCTCAAATGAAACAACACAGTTCAGTACATTATTATGTAGTACTGTAGTATTTTTTATTTTATTAAGAGAGAATACATAAATCCGAAAATTATTCTTAATAACTACTTATTTATAATAATGTAAGTATGCGTCTAAACATCTTCCGCTAGAATAGCAATATATTATATTTTGCCTTGCTTTACTGGACTAATAATTGTGATAAACCAGTTGATTGTTAGTCCAGTCTACATTGGCCACCCCTGATGTATATAATATGTGTATGATGATGATGATGATGATGATGATATTATATAATATAGAAATAAATAAATAAGCCCCACTACTAACAATATTTTGTCATGGTTGCATAAGACATCTTTAAGACAGTTTAAGATTACTTTGAATCAGGGTTCAAAGATATATATGTCACTATATATATCAATTCATTTTTATCTTGATAAATATCAATTGATTTTTTCCTGTCTTCTGAACTAAAAATTTTGGAGTTTAATGTTTACCCTGGCAACACATAGTGAAAAACTACAATTCAGAATAATTTAGATTGTTTCCCAAAATGGCAACCTCATAAAAATATTATTATTATAATAATAGGTACTTGTTTTTTTAATTGTTCATTAAAAAAATATATCTCAAATAAACACTAAGTAATTCTTTTGTTACTTGTTAAAAGTTTTTTTAAATAATAAATGTAGTAATAATTTGACACTTATTTTATTTTACAAATTCCCTTCACATTTTTAAGTGTGTTATCCCCTCATAGAATGAATTCACTTCTTTTTCTTAGCTGGGATATATATCACATATATATCAAAACATCGGATTTTTGATATTTATTATAAAAATCAGATTTTTTCAAAGTCTGCTTTGAATAGAGAGCTTATGCCAAGAGGCACACAGACAAAACCAAAAAATAAACATAGTTAACAATTAAAAAACTATATACATAATAACATGATCATAATGTGGTTTAATACAATTGTTTTTATTTAATATGATTAAGTACTTATTGTACATAATTTACATTAGACACATTAAAAATTTTTTTATACAATATTTTATAACTCATATGCATAACCCACAAACTGTGGGGTGAAAGGGATTGTTAGTAATAGAGACTGAGAATCCCATTGCTAACAATATACCCAACCAGGGCGATCTCCTCGCGGTTCTCCCTAGAAACTATCTTGGTTAATTCCAGATGAATTCATCATGATGCGCTAACTGGACTGTTTTCATTCTCATTGATCACCCTTCATTGGTGCTCTGCCAGCGTATCCTGTCAGCATAGGTTGGGTTACCATACCATTTTCATCCATCATAAAAAAAAACCTACAAACTGTTGAAATTTTGATACTTTTGACATTTAACTGGTAAGCCCTTTAGTTGTATTACAAGGGTTAAAGTTAATTATGTCCTGAATTACACAGTACAGATGTCATTTATAGGTATTTTCTAAAATGTTAAAGCAAAAACTATTTATTTATTTATTATTATAATGCATTCTTGTACATATTATAGAGTACTTATGATGAGTACATGAAACCCTGTTTAGGTGTAGCAAAATCATATTGATAGGTAGCTAATATACATGCATTAATGTCAATTTAAATGTCAGATTATATTTAATTATTATACACATAATTGCGATTTATATTAAACAAAATAAACAACAATTCAAAATATCATAAAAATAATTTGCTGGCAGACAATCAACATAATCTCAAAAATTACTCAAGTTTAATATTTAAAAATTTTCAACTAGACTCCTAATGGGACATAAAGGTATATTATAGAACAGGTTTTTTTAATACCTACTTATACAAATTAGAGAACAAATACGCGCGAAAAATAATCCATAAAGCAATTGACCATTACAATATATATAAAATACTATAGACAAATATGACCAAAGAGGTTTTTCCACTTATAAACAAAAATACCTATATGAGAGGTAACAGTAAGGTATTTACCAAGTTCCTGCTTGGTCACTGTCCAACTCCAATTATTGAAGCCCCACTGTGAGTGGCCGAAGTTTATCAGCTGCTGTCGCCGTTGCTGCTGTTCACTTTCATCTTCGCATAGCATATTCTCCGGGACAGGCATACTTATGCTATCCGGCTGACAAATAAACAATCATTTACATAAAACTTATTTTTGAGAAATACAATAAAAATAAAAAAAAACTACGCCGGAAACAGTAAACATAAGACCGCAAGTGACAGTTTAAACAACAACAGCGTTATATGAATCGTAAAAGTTGAACAACAAGTTTGCATACCATTTTGATACTGCAATTTGCCACGGGGAAACATGCTTTCCTCTGCATTTTCACAAAAAATCAATTTAGAAGTACAGATTTTCCATGAATATGAGTTTCTGGCGTCACCTGAAGCTATTTAAATTAGGTATTTTCTGCTTTACGGTGAAATTTCTTAAAAAAATGTGCAAAATATAGCAAACAAAACAATTATTGACATTTTGCACAAATATCACTCCATTTATCTCATTCAATCTATCATTCAATCGCTGAATTAAATGAAATAACGAATCGTTCATCTTCTCGACTTCTATAATCTATGATTCTTCCGTTCTTATCATGGTGATTCCCGTGAATAGGTAACAAACATAGGAATAGCCAATATTGGTAAAAAAAATATTTGAAAGACAATTTTTTTATTTTTCTATTAAAACTTATTTTTGAAAATATTTTTTAAAGTTTCCAGCACATAGGAAGTAGTCACTATGTTATAAGAGTAGGCAGCGGCCTTATGTCCATGAAATCTGGAAAATGTAATGCATATTATCTTTTTCAAGCAACAACATACTGACGTAAATTAATATTTGTACAAATATTTATATATTATAATGAAATTACAAGGTTCAGAGGTATAACACTAGTCCTCAAGAATAATAACGTATGGTATCATGGGCGACACAGTATACTCTGTTATGTCCATAGTTCTGTTCATGTCTATAGAATGTATATATATGAATGGAGCTTGTTCGCCCTTCTAAATTGCAATTTTTTTTAATGGATGATAATGGAATGTTAACCCCGCCCACGTTATCGGGATACGCTGGCAGGTATCGCTATCACCAGTGATAGATGACTGATGAGGATGAAAGCAGATCAGTTAGCCCATCGTGACGAATTCAACTAGAATTAGTCACGATAGTTTCCAGGGGGAACCCCGTGGAGGTCGACTTGAGAGGGTACATTGCTAATAATGGTGCTTATTTGCCCCCATTACTAACAATCCCTTTCCTCCCTCTAAATTGCATAAAAAAAAAAAAATAGTCCTCCATCCAAATTATTAATATCTATATATATCGTTATAAAAATTTCTAGCTGCTTTATAATATAAAATATATGGGGAAAGGGATTGTTAGTAATGCGGACTATCAATTTTATTGCGAGCAATATCCCCTGTCAGGTCGAACTCTACGTGGTTCTCCTTGGAAACCATCGTGCTCAATTCTAAACGTATTCATTGCGATGGGCCAACTGATCTGCTTTTTCATTTTCACTTATCAATCTTTATTAAAAAAAAAAAAATGCCCCGCCAGCGTACACCGTTGGCATAGACGAGGTTACCATTCCATTATTATCCATTAAAAAAATAAAATATATAAAATTTACGAAATTTTTCAAACAATTGTTCAATACCCCAAAGAGAATTTGTGAATAATACAAATTATCTATCAAAAAAATTTGATTTAAAATGAAGTACCACAAAATAAAGTAACTAAACTTACTTAATTTTATATTATAGTACATGTTTTTTATAAAAGTTGAAAATTTTGTATTCGATGTCGATATTTTAAATGGAGGCATGTATAGCTAATCGTACAAATATTATTTTTATTGTGTTATTACTTTGAAAAGGCATGTATGTATTTCCTTTTCCAGGTTTTGTGGATATAAGGCCACTGCCAACTCGTATAACGTAATAATTACTTGCTCTGTGTCTATGGTCGATCCTGTCAAATTATGAAATTGACAAATTACGATTTACTCTTTGAACGACCGGCATCTGTAATTTTTTTTCTTCTGTGTCGAAACATAGAAATTTATTTGTTTCTTCTTTGTTTAAATAACATAGACCGTAATTCATAAAAATCGTATTGTGTCCTTCGCGTAAATTTTTTTATTAAAACGATCGTCAAAGTGACTAATTATTACATATCTTGCGTGATTATTCCATTATGAGTGTTTTGATTAAAAATATTTATTATTTTTAATAATAATATATATAGATAAATAAATTAAAATTTAGTTAAGTAATAAAATCAACAAAATTTGTCATGTCTGAATTCTTAGACATTGATGGAAGCGTCTTAGAAGGGGTAATAAAAAATTTCTAATTTTAATTTTCATAAACAATTTGTTTTCAGGATTGCCCTTAATGGGATAGGAATGTGTCCACCGCCTGGTACAAAAAGTAGTTGGTCCTTCTCCATCCCAAATAGTTTACCTAATTCATTGGAATTGCTTAAGCAATTAGGGCACTAAGTAATAAACAAACTCACTTTCACATTTATAACATTAGTAAGGCTGATGATGATCTGTGTTTTGTCTGATGCCCATCCCAAGAGTGGAAATTTTAGCTGTAAACAAAGATATGTTAAAAAATATATACATAAGTACATACAATACATAGAAATAATGGAATTTGTGCTTCCTCAACATTTGCCAATCTTTTCATATATTCTCTTACAGAAGAGCCAAATTAAAGTTCTTCTTCAGCATATTGTCTATTTGGTCTAGGAGTCCCTATTGACATCCATTTATTAGTGCTCAATCATTGCTGCTTTTTTTTAATTCTTTCATCCATCCTCTCAAAATGGCCTATATGCGCTATAAATAAAGAGTCAGATCCACTGGAAAATATTCTTAAATATGGCAATGCTTAGCATAATCTTGTAATATCTTTCTATCAAAATAACAGTACATAAAGTACGTACCAAAGAGAGACTTTGTACAAAGGTCACTTGGATACCTCTGTCCTGTTCGTGTTTCAACCGTGAAGCAGTTGTGTTTGCATGGCTGTGTTTCGGTTTGAAGGGTGGGATATGGTGTGAATTTACTGGGTACAGAGGAATAACACTTGAGTCCTCAGGAATGGCAACGCATGGGGGGTATCGTGAGCGAAACAGTATACTCTGTTATGTCCATGCTACTGCTCATGTCTATAGGCGACAGTTACCACTTTCCATCAGGTGGGCCGTCAGCTTGTTTGCATAAATATACATATTAAAAGAGTTTTTTTTTTTTTTTGTATTGATCGTTTTCAAATTTAGTTATAAAAAAAAAGTATTATAAAATAGAATTATATCTTGTAGTGACTGTGGCTCTTTATATTGATATTAATAGGCTTAGTCCTTAACAATGGCAATGCATGAAGAGTGTTATGAGCGATACAGTATACTCTATTAAGTCCATGGTACTGTTCATGTCTGAAAGTGACTGTTGTCATGTTCCATCTGGTGGGTTATTAGCTTGTTTGCCATTTCAAATTGCATTAAATCTTTTATTAATTGCAGGGTGGTCAAATACTTCGCATATCGATCTCTCTGAGTGCACTGTTGTCTGTACCAGTACATGTATACAATATAAGAGCTGGCCGAAGGAAACCAGGCTTAGCGGCACAGCATTTAAAAGGTATAAACATTATCAGCACATGGTTGCTTAAATTTAGAACTATTAGAGAAAAAAAAAACGTGCATAAAAAACCTTAAAGAATCAGTGTTATGAGTCTTCTATAAGTAAAAATCAATTGCAGAATAGAAGAAAAAAAGGATGTTATTTTTATTGTGTGTGTGAGAAGTAACAGACAAATTGTGGGAAAGGGATTGTTAATAATGGAGTCTAATAGTGCCATAGCAATATATCTCTGTCCCATTCGTGTTTCAACCGTGAAGCAGTTGTGTTTGCATGGCTGTGTTTCGGTTTGAAGGGTGGGATATGGCGTGAATTTACTGGGTATAGAGAAATAACACCTGAGTCCTCAGGAATGGCAACGCATGGGGAGGTATCATGGGCGAAACAGTATACTCTGTTATATCCATGGTACTGCTCATGTCTATAGGCGACGGTTACCACTTTCTATCAGGTGGGCCGTCAGCTTGTCTGCCATTCTAAGTTGTATAAAAAAACCCTAACAGGTTGACGTATCATGCGCGCCAGTGTATATCATACATATATAATATTAGTAATTATTTATTTATTTATTTTATAAGTATAATATTTAATTAATAATTCTGTCAGACTTATTTGCTAATATTGTATATTACTATCAATATCATCATCATCATCATCATACCAATCGTTGTCTACTTCTGAACATAAACCTCCCCCATTTGATTATCAATCACTTCATAGTATAAAACAAAGTCGCTATCGCTGTCTGTCCGCTCCTATGTATGCTTAAATCTTTAAAACTACGCACCGGATTTTGAAGCGGTTTTTTTAAATAGATAGAGTGATTCAATAGGAAGGTTTATATGTATAATACGTACATAATATTGTAGAGAAACACTGATAAATTTAGAGGTTTCTAATGTGATGTCGTAAATAAACACATTAATTGGCACTTACATTGCAAACGCTGACTGAACTCCACGAGATAGATTAAAATAATGTATTATAATAATAATAATTTATCTTCTCGGAATAACATAGGCTATTTTATGTCTTTTTTGTAAAGAATATGTGCGAAGCCGGGGCAGGTTGCTAGTATAGCATAAAGAAACTTTATATTGTTTCAGGAATCCAGCTAGTGGGAGAGATGTGCCAGGCAAAATTGAAGGGTGTAACTATAGGATCTACGGAGATAGAGTTTTCACCAGGAAAGATTAAAGGAGGCCACTATATGGCTGATACACAAACTGCTGGGTAAATACATTATAATATGTGGGATTGATATTTTTCATAAGACAATTTTTTAAAAGAAAACTTTTTATTTATCGTCTTTACAAATATGCGTCTTTATAGCTCGTTTTCTAAATCGTAATCTCAAGGGTAAAACATACATCCCTCTCTCTCGCACACTGTCCCTCTCTTTCACTTGAAGATGTGATCGTGTATTCATTCAAAATTATAATTGCGTTACAATATATGTATTTCCTCAGGAATGGCAACGCATGGGGGGTATCATGGGCGAAACAGTATACTCTGTTATGTCTATGGTACTGCTCATGTCTATAGGCGACGGTTACCACTTTCCATCAGGTGGGGCGTCAGCTTGTTTGCCATTCTAAGTTGTATAATCGCCCGCGCTACCGGTATACATTGGCGGGACACCAGTGAGTTTGATGATAAGTGAGGATGAAGCAGGTTAGTTGGCCCATCAATAATTAACCATGATGGTTTCCAGGGAGAACTGCGAGGAGGTCGACCTGGTTATGTATATTGCTAGCAATAGGATTCTCAGTCTCCATTACTAACAATCCCCCCGCAGTACTGATATTACACAAGCCTACAGGAAATTTACAATAGATAAAGGAGAACAGCTGGTGTCTAGTACATTAGATTGTAAAGTAATTGCATTGTTTTGAGTTAATCCTTCATGGCATCTTATGGCTTCCATAATAGTTAATATGATTGTCACAGTTCCATCAGTCTTCTGCTGCAAGTGGCGTTACCCTGCGCCCTGATGGCAGACGGACCCGTGACCCTGGACCTTCGCGGCGGTACCAACGCAGACATGGCGCCGCAGATCGACTATATGGATATGGTCTTTAGACCACTACTGCAGAAATTCGGTGGAGATTTTTCTTTAAAAATACATAAGAGAGGGTAAGTTTCTTATATTCATTTTTTTTTCTTTTTATTTTTTATATTTGGATATTTATATTAAATTTTTACTTCTGTATATTTAGTACAAGCTTTTTAAGACCCTCTTTTGCTTGCCTATTATTCGAAATTACAGCCAATTTAATATGTTCCTGGTAATTATATTTATTTTTTGCTTAAATAGCCTGCAACCATATAAAATATGCTGTGATGATTTCTCTAAAGGTCATTCCTCGTATCAAGAGATTAGGGGGGGTATCATGGGCGAAACAGTATACTCTGTTATGTCCCTGGTACTGCTCATGTCTATAGGCGACGGTTACCACTTTCCATCAGGTGGGCCGTCGGCTTGTCTGCCATTCTGAGTTGTATAAAAAAAAAGAGAAAGGAGATGATGGTTGATGAGTTGGAGAATAGATTAAAATATAACCAATGCCTACCCCGTAAAGTTTATCATAAAAATAAATATTTATAGTATAAATTCAATACAGCACCTATTTTCATTTCAACTGTCTCCATGGAGGAGATTATAAAATGTTCCATTCCTCTGTGGGGCTATTCATCAGTTACGTGTTATGCTATGTCGCAGGTATTATCCGAAGGGCGGTGGTCACGTGACCGTGGACGTGACGCCCATCAAGCGGCTGAACAGCATCACGTTACTGGACCCAGGCACCCTCACCAATGTAGAGGGGATCAGCTACGTGGCTGGTGTGCTGCCTCTAAAGGTAACTCTACTGTCTCTGGTCATGGTAATTGAATGATTATAATAATGATTTTTAAATTATGTACATAAATATTTATTTTTGTTGTTTAGTTTTCTGTTTAGCACTGTTACTGTCCGCTCACTACTTCCTATGCCACTGTGTTAGGTTGACTGGAAGGAAGCTCTTTAAGAGATAAGTTCGCTTTTGTTTACTTTGTTACTATTGAAGTTCGCGGTACGGTTTTTTTTATACAACTTTGAATGGCAAACAAGCTGACGGCCCACCTGATGGAAAGTGGTAACCGTCGCCTATAGACATGAGCAGTACCATGCACATAACAGAGTATACTGTTTCGCCCATGATACCCCCCATGCGTTGCCATTCCTGAGGACTCAGGTGTTATTCCTCTGTACTCAGTAAATTCACGCTATATCCCACCCTTCAAACCGAAACACAGTCATGCAAACACAACTGCTTCACGGTTGAAACACGAATGCGACAGAGGTACCCAAGCAATCGACTTTTGTACAAAGTCTCCCTAATTTGCTAGCGTTTCTCGTCTGGTATTTATGCAGGTCTCGTCTGGTATATATGTATGTGTACATGGCGGACTTAATGCTAAAAGCATTCTCTCTCAGTCAACCATAGGGAAGTGTCAGGATACTCGAATGCGGTACTAGTAATTATTGATATACATACATACTAAAATTATATATATAAACGAATAAATATATATAAATAACAAATATACTTACATATATATATATAAACATACATACATACATATCTGTCACGCCTGTCTCCCATTAGGGTAGACAGAAACAATGGAACGCCAAATGCTTCGTTTCAAACAAACCTCTTTCGCTTCCTCCACATTCATCAATCTTTCATACACGCTCGCCGGTTACGGGTACTTTTAATTTGGCCCTTCTCCAGCACGTCGCCTATTTGCTCGACATACGTCCGTCTAGGGCGGCCCCTACCGACATCTCCATTCATTCTTGCTCGATAAATCTCTTAAATATATAAAATATACTACATATATTATACACGAAATTGAAAATAATATAAAGCACTTACACTATGTGTTCTATAGTCATACAATTTTACAGATGGCATACGAAATGTGCGATGGTGTGAAGCAACAACTGCAGTCTGAATGTGAGGAGCTGAACATCCAGTGCTATAAGGAGGACAGGAATGTTGCGCCGGACAACTGTAGCGGTATTGTGTGAGTATAATGTTGGCATTACGATGACTGAAACACGCGATTAAGTCAAGACTACAGCAATACCATCATGGCCGTAGTTGGAGGAGGGGCATTGAGGGACAATGCCCTACCTTAAAATGAAAGGTCCGAAGAAAATTAGATTCGTTGTTTCGAAGTTACTTAATTATGACTTCTGCCCTGCCAAAAAGTTCTTTTGCCCTACCTTAAGCTTGAGTCTAGCTGAGCCCATGAATACTGTACATATATTAATGTTTGTTGCCCAATCATACTTGACAAGATTTCATTTATATATGCTGTACCATCATTATCCCCGATAGATTGGGGGGAAAGGGATTGTTAGTAATGGAGACTAAGACTCCCATTGCTAGCAATATACCCAACCAAGTCGACCTCTTCGCGGTTCCACCTGGAAACTATCATGGTTAATTCCTAATGAATTCATCATGATGGGCTAACTGGCCTGTTTTCATTCTCATCTATCACCCTTCATTGGTACTCCGCCAGCGTATCCCGTTAGCGCAGGTGGGGTTACCATTCCATTTTCCACCATAAAAAAATAACCCCATAGATTGGGTATCTACGGGAAAGGAAGGGTTGGCCCATTCTATGCCGGGACTATACGCTTATAGATTAAACGTATCTTAGAGAGATTCGTTAATATTAATATTATTCAGAATTTAATTCAACCGGATCGTAAACGCCTCAGTCTCATTCCTCGCATTTCTCGCTATCCGTCTACAGAATATTAACTAATGAATTATACTCGTGGCATACACAGCGTGTCGTGTTCGCTGAGCGGTCCTGGAGGCGCCAGTGGCAGGTGTACGGTCGGCGGCAGCGCCCTCGGGCGGCGAGGGACGGCGCCGCGGGACGTCGGCCGCCAGCTCGGCCGCCAGCTCGCCGCCAGCCTGCACGGCCGCGCCTGCCTCGACCGCTACTCGCAGGTGGGTACAGGGGCAGCCCGCGGGACGGGCGGCGGCGTGTGGTACAACGGGGGCAGGCCGTGAGATGGACGACGGGTTTTTTTTTTCTTTTTTTTTTTAATAGGCGGTAATGGAATGGTAACCCCACCCGCACTATCGGTATACACCGGCGGGGCAGCAGTGAAGGATGATAGGTGAGGATGAAGTAGGTCAGTTAGCCCATCGTGACGAATTCGACAAAAATTGTTCCCGATGGTTTCCAGGGAAAAACCACGTGGAGGTCGACCTAATAGGGCATATTGCTAGCAATAGGGCTGTCAAACTGCATTGCTAACAATCCTTTTCCCCCCTACCCGCGGGATGGGTAGCGGCGTGAGGTACATCGGGAGCAGGCCGTAGCATATGTGTACAGTGCGTACTGTAAAAATATTTGAATATTCATTGGGATGAAATTTGATAGACAAATGGAATATATCCTAGACTATCATTTAAGATATTGTTGGTGCCATCTATTGAGCAAAATGGATAAAACGTCACCGGAGCGAAGTGCGACATCGACGGTGTGGTACTGCGGTGACAGGCAAGTGCTTCACTCACTCGCTCTCTGTAATTAGCAGACGAATCATCCTAATAAATATCATATAATAAATTCATATTTCACAAAAGTAACAATAAACGAGTTATCGAAGAGTTCCTGCACCCATAAACTTTTATACACACAAAAGGGAAAGGCGCAAACAGATATCTCTTATCCTAGTTAACGCCGGCACTATTTATTTGTTCACAGGACCAAGTAATTTTGTACATGGCGTTGGCGCATGGAAAATCTGCTGTGAAAACTGAAGAGTTGACGTTACATACCAAAACGGCTATACACGTTGCTGAACTAGTTGCTAAGGTAACTTCCATTTTTTATATTGTTCGAAGTGATGCCCACAGCCACCCTTTATTATCGCATCGCTCGCCATCAATAGGAATTCCACCTTTACACGCTAAAACCCAAATGGTCGTGTACAGTACGGGTTCAAAGAAGTTTCGTGTCACGATGGCTCAGGCTGTGGAATGAGCTCCTTGCCTTAGGTTTTCCTTAGAAAGTATAAGATGGAGCTCTTCAAAAAGAATGTATTAAGGTTTCTTCAGGGTCGGCAACATGCACCTGACACCGCTAGTGTCGGGGACTACCAGTCCCATTGCTAGCAGTATACCCTGTCAGGCCGACCTTCACGTGGTCCCTCCTGGAAACTATCGTGCTGAATTCCAGATATATTCATCACGATGGGCTAACTGACCTGTCTTTTCATCCTCACCTATCATCCCTCACTGGTGCCCCGCCAGTGTATACCGTTAGCGCAGGCGGGGTTACCATTCCATTATCATCCATTAAAAAAAAAGACACCGCTAGTGTTGCAGGCGTCCACAGGCTATAGTGACCGTTAATCATCATAGGGGCTGTAAGCCTGTTTGCTACCTTCGTGGTATAAAAAAAAAAAAACCTTTATCGCCGCACTAACGTCATCTGTCGTCACCCTAATGTGATTTTGCTTTATTTTTTCAGACAAAGTTCAATGTCCAGTCGAGTGATGACCACCACGTGATAGAGTGTGTAGGCCTAGGCTATACCAATAGGAACTTACCTGCGGAGTAAATTGAGTACAACAAATCCAAGCATTTCGTCTAGTCAACCTAACGAGTATGTACCGTGTTTAAACCCTCCATATCACCTATCTTATCAATAAATTACTAATAGGTTAAAAAAATTACTCGAAAAGCATTTAGTGAGCCATATGGAGACGTTACCAGAGGGAGACTTTGTACAAAAGTCGATTGCATGCATTGCCATTCCTGAGGACTCAGGTGAAACACAGCCATGCAAACACAACTGCTTCACGGTTGAAACACGAATTGGACAGAGGTACCGAAGCAATCGACTTTTGTACAAAGTCTCCCTCTGAAATATATTTATTTTTTCAACCTATTATTAATGTAAGGTTCCCAAATGCAGAATTACACATTAAAAATATATTGAAATATACTTAATCAGTGTCTATATATCAATACTTACTGTACTGTATGTGCTGTCGATGATTCGAGTAAATACGATAAAATACGGATAATAAGAAAAATACGGTAAATAGTGTTTCTTTTTTTTTCTAATGGGTGAAAATGGTATGGTAGCCCCGCCTGCGCTAACGGGATACGCTGGCGGAGCACCAGTGAAGGGTGATCGATGAGAATGAAAACAGGCCAGTTAGCCCATCATGATGAATTCATCAGGAATTAACATGATAGTTTCCAGGGGGAACCGTGAGGAGGTGGACCTGGTTGGGTATATTGCTAGCAATGGGATTTTCAGTCTCCATTACTAACAATCCCTTGAACCCCCGGTAAATAGAGTTTACAGTATGATATCGAAATTAACAACATATTTTTAAGAGAGAGAGCTCTATCAGTGTAATATTTTATCTCAAGTGGCAATAGGTTAAAAAAAAAACAAAAATATGTACTCTCCCATACTACCTTCTTATCTGTCCGCTGCTGAACATAGGTTTCCTCCATTAACTCTAATAACGCGTTCCTTATGGCGGTCTATGGGAGAGACCTATCTAACAAAAGGGGTCAAGACCGTTGTCTTGGATCACCTGAGCCGCCATGCTGGTATGGTGGACTCAAAATATTTTCTCAATTTTTAACTAAGTTTTTTGGGCATAAATGGCGTTTGTAGACCCATGGACCCATAAATATTTTGATTTCATCCCGTATTTTATTGTTAGACACTAGACAATGTCTTATGTCCAGTCCAGGACAAGCAGACTGTATCCGAGTAAAAAAAAAAAGTTTTATGTTTTTAAATATTTGTATGCAGATATTTTGTTACCTGATTATGATATAATATGGTCAGGATAGAACTGGAGTCTTGAGTATTGTTTAACAGTCTCAAGTCCAACAATTCTCGGTTTAAATCTAATTTTTTTTAGAGGTTCGGTCCCGATATTGATGTATTTGCCAAGCAATCGTAAAATGGGCGTTTTCTTAATTTCCGGTATTTAATGTACGGTATTGTACGATTTTATCGTTGCGATATAATAGGAGAGTTAAATTTGCCATTATCATTGGCGTATGCAGGATTATTTTTCAAAAAGGCGGGTGTATCCCTTAAAATGGACGAATGTGTATTCCCAGACATGTTTTTGCTCATAAGCTCCACTCTTGATCCTGGGGTGGGCACCAGACAATTCTGGGGTGGGCAATGCCAACCCCCTTAAATATGTTGATATTCACAGAAATTCAGTATCGTATAGTAATATCGAAACTAGACGTGGGTTATAACAGGACAAACATAATATTTGTTATAACTGCTACCCAATAATAACAGGTTTTTTAAATCTATTTATTATATATATATATATATATATATATATATATATATATATATATATATATATTGTGGGCGATATTATGGACTGTATATTGATGTATATGATGTAATCAAACAATGGGTTTAAAAGGAAAATAACTATAATAAAGAAAACTACGAAAGATAGACTACGACAGCTAAGAGCAAAAGTGACAATTGGTGGAAACAAGTGTATAAAAATACAATAAAAATAAAAACCTTTAAAAATAACTAAGGAGTTCGCAACACATATATATATAAATATAAAGTTAAAAGAAATAAAAAAAAACAAATTCTTCCGCGTTTTAAATATATATTTATCTGTTACTTGGATACATTACCAATACTCTGTTACTTGGATATGTTACCAATACTCACTGCAACGTGAAATTGATTTGCATTAATGTCTGCTATTCTACATCTAAATCTAAATAGAAATAATAAAATCGTACGATATCGTGCCGTATGGTAAATAATAAAAACGCCCAATAAATAATAAATTATTATTATTTTTTTATATGTATGTCTAAGGATTAATATTAAAGACTAATAAAAAGGTTGTGATGTTTGATTACTAGAGTAAAACTCGAGAGTGGATGATATCTGCGCATACAGATGGCTATAATTTAATGTATGCGCCTAAAATAATCTACCACCATACGTGTTTCAGCCGCCAAGCGGCTGTGCTTGTGTGGCCGAGGGTCGGCTTAGGGACTACTCACACTTATTCAGCTCTATTCAACGTTTGTCCATAGAAAACGATTTTGTATGGAGACGTGTACGCATCCATTCAGCTTTCCGCGTCATGAAACAATGAGGATAAATGTGTATTTATCATGCGAATGCTATAGAGAGCGTTCAGCGCTGTTCCGCCGCGTTCAGCGCTGTTCCGCCGCATTCAGCGTCGAAAGGAGCTGAATAAGTGTGAGTAGTCCCTTAGAGTGAGAATTGATAGTAAAATTACAAGGTACAGAGTACACAGGCCTAGTAAATTAGTTTTGAATGTTCTCACCCGAGGAGTTACAGTGTATTCTGTGATGGCCATGGTATGATAGTTCATATCTATAAGCGATAGGCACTATTTTCCATCACGTGGGCTTATGTGTTTGTGTGAAATTTTAAGTCGGATAAATATGTTTATTGAGACTGAAATTGATTGGAATGGAAGGCTGCTATAAAATTATTATTTATAGATAACTTTATACAAGTAAAATAGTTGGCATGTGGCAAGTGGAAAAATAAATAATTTGTTTTTTTTTTTTATTTCCATAGAGTCGCAATTTACGATTGTCGTTTACTTTTCTTTATAAAAATATTCTTCAGTTATATACGAAAAATTAAAAAAAAAAAAATCACAAACTATAAAAGTAGAATTATTTAATTTTCCACCTTTGTTACGAATAGATTAAAAATATATATATATATATATATATATATATATATATATATATATATATATATATATATATATATATATATATATATATAATCATCGTTGTTAGTGTCGTTTATTAAATATTGTCAAGTACATCCTGTCTCCTCCATTGCATTTAAATATAATAGAAATAAGATTTATTCAAATAATTTTAAGCACTTAAATAATCAGACTGTCAGAGCTTATATCTACATACCAATAGAATATATTCACTCGATATTAAAATGTGGTAAAAATAAAACAAATGTGGTTTTCTTTCCAATTTTATTATTTACCTTTTTATAAAACCATCTAGGTACTTACATATCTGTACATAGCTCATACAATGCTATATTGATTATTTTTATTGATGAAGATGGAGTGGTATACCCGTGTATACCAATATGGTCAGGAACCACAGACTTAGTATACCATATTACGTACTAAATAGTCTGAGTCAGGAACTTAAGATTTATACAGTCATATTTATTTTACTTGACATCACTATCTTCACGTCGAGTTTTATAGAGGGTATAATCAGAGATAACGTGCCAACGAAATATCTCCTAAAATGGAGGATTATAAAAGTTCATAATCTCTGTTGTTTTCACTTAGATTACAGTTATTTTGTACTTCACGTTAGATTTTCCATACTTAATCGACCACGTGACTGTCGCAATTTGTATGGAAGGCTTAAAATTTATTATTTTAATGACCTTACCTTGATAATGTACAAATGTCGATTGCTTGGGTACCTCTGTCCCATTCGTGTTTCAACCGTGAAGCAGTTGTGTTTGCATGGCTGTGTTTCGGTTTGAAGGGTGGGATATAGCGTGAATTTACAGGGTACAGAGGAATAACACCTGAGTCCTAAGGAATGGAAACACATGGGGGGTATCATAGGCGAAACAGTATGTGTGTGTACTGTTATATCCATGGTACTGCTCATGTCTATAGGCGACGGTTACCACTCACAACGGTTCCATCAGGTGGGCCGTCAGCTTGTTTGCCATTGTAAGTTGTATTAAAAAATATGTAGTAAATAAGCTGTATTCAATATGTGAGTAATGATACCTTAATAATAATAAAATTAAGGTCTAACCGAAGGATGTTCGCTGAAAATCAGCGTTGTAGCTCCTTGGACGCAGTATAACGTAGATGGGGGACCTTCACCACCATAACCATTCATATATGTTATTTAACTCTGTATGTAGCTTTTTTGTAAATATAACGTTTGCTGTATAAGCTATTATTTCATATTTTAACGATTTCCCTATAGGAAATTTATTAATATTCATGGGCATCATATACAATAACATATTGGATTTAAAAAAAAAAAGTATAAAAGTACATAATTGAATGAAACTATTTTACTAAAGTATTGAGGGCTCTTTTACAATAGCGCAGCGCAGTCAGAGCCCAACAAAATAGGAGTTACATATTAAGTTATATAAGAATGTATGTCACATATAACCTATTGCTTTTCCCCTGTTGGGAAAATTCCAACAGATATTTTTTTCAGTATTCCCAGACATGTTTTTGCTCATAAGCTCCACTCTTGATCCTGGGGTGGGCACCAGACAATTCTGGGGTGGGCAATGCCAACCCCCTTAAATATGTTGATATTCACAGAAATTCAGTATCGTATAGTAATATCGAAACTAGACGTGGGTTATAACAGGACAAACATAATATTTGTTATAACTGCTACCCAATAATAACAGGTTTTTTAAATCTATTATATATATATATATATATATATATATATATATATATATATATATATATATATATATATATATATATATATATATATATATATATATATATATATATATATATATATTGTGGGCGATATTATGGACTGTATATTGATGTATATGATGTAATCAAACAATGGGTTTAAAAGGAAAATAACTATAATAAAGAAAACTACGAAAGATAGACTACGACAGCTAAGAGCAAAAGTGACAATTGGTGGAAACAAGTGTATAAAAATACAATAAAAATAAAAACCTTTAAAAATAACTAAGGAGTTCGCAACACATATATATATAAATATAAAGTTAAAAGAAATAAAAAAAAACAAATTCTTCCGCGTTTTAAATATATATTTATCTGTTACTTGGATACATTACCAATACTCTGTTACTTGGATATGTTACCAATACTCACTGCAACGTGAAATTGATTTGCATTAATGTCTGCTATTCTACATCTAAATCTAAATAGAAATAATAAAATCGTACGATATCGTGCCGTATGGTAAATAATAAAAACGCCCAATAAATAATAAATTATTATTATTTTTTTATATGTATGTCTAAGGATTAATATTAAAGACTAATAAAAAGGTTGTGATGTTTGATTACTAGAGTAAAACTCGAGAGTGGATGATATCTGCGCATACAGATGGCTATAATTTAATGTATGCGCCTAAAATAATCTACCACCATACGTGTTTCAGCCGCCAAGCGGCTGTGCTTGTGTGGCCGAGGGTCGGCTTAGGGACTACTCACACTTATTCAGCTCTATTCAACGTTTGTCCATAGAAAACGATTTTGTATGGAGACGTGTACGCATCCATTCAGCTTTCCGCGTCATGAAACAATGAGGATAAATGTGTATTTATCATGCGAATGCTATAGAGAGCGTTCAGCGCTGTTCCGCCGCGTTCAGCGCTGTTCCGCCGCATTCAGCGTCGAACGCGGCGAAACAGCTCTTTACAGGGATGTTTCGCGACTACTCGTCGACAAGTTGCGACCTGTATTGTTCTGCATTAATTTGATTTATTATTGCGTAATCATTATGTACGCAAGGATTAAAGAGTGCAGACGTATTTTATAGTAATTATAATTGTTTTATTTTTACGAAATGCAGCATATTCAACGTCGCACACAGTGGACAAGCGTTTCAGCGGAGATAGCACGCTATGACGGCTTTTCTCATTCTTACGACGCCGTACGCGGCTGATAGAAGCAGAGCTGTATAAGTGTGAGCAAAATCGTTCAGCGAAACGCGAATGGAGCTGAATAAGTGTGAGTAGTCCCTTAGAGTGAGAATTGATAGTAAAATTACAAGGTACAGAGTACACAGGCCTAGTAAATTAGTTTTGAATGTTCTCACCCGAGGAGTTACAGTGTATTCTGTGATGGCCATGGTATGATAGTTCATATCTATAAGCGATAGGCACTATTTTCCATCACGTGGGCTTATGTGTTTGTGTGAAATTTTAAGTCGGATAAATATGTTTATTGAGACTGAAATTGATTGGAATGGAAGGCTGCTATAAAATTATTATTTATAGATAACTTTATACAAGTAAAATAGTTGGCATGTGGCAAGTGGAAAAATAAATAATTTGTTTTTTTTTTTTATTTCCATAGAGTCGCAATTTACGATTGTCGTTTACTTTTCTTTATAAAAATATTCTTCAGTTATATACGAAAAATTAAAAAAAAAAAAAAAATCACAAACTATAAAAGTAGAATTATTTAATTTTCCACCTTTGTTACGAATAGATTAAAAAATATATATATATATATATATATATATATATATATATATATATAATCATCGTTGTTAGTGTCGTTTATTAAATATTGTCAAGTACATCCTGTCTCCTCCATTGCATTTAAATATAATAGAAATAAGATTTATTCAAATAATTTTAAGCACTTAAATAATCAGACTGTCAGAGCTTATATCTACATACCAATAGAATATATTCACTCGATATTAAAATGTGGTAAAAATAAAACAAATGTGGTTTTCTTTCCAATTTTATTATTTACCTTTTTATAAAACCATCTAGGTACTTACATATCTGTACATAGCTCATACAATGCTATATTGATTATTTTTATTGATGAAGATGGAGTGGTATACCCGTGTATACCAATATGGTCAGGAACCACAGACTTAGTATACCATATTACGTACTAAATAGTCTGAGTCAGGAACTTAAGATTTATACAGTCATATTTATTTTACTTGACATCACTATCTTCACGTCGAGTTTTATAGAGGGTATAATCAGAGATAACGTGCCAACGAAATATCTCCTAAAATGGAGGATTATAAAAGTTCATAATCTCTGTTGTTTTCACTTAGATTACAGTTATTTTGTACTTCACGTTAGATTTTCCATACTTAATCGACCACGTGACTGTCGCAATTTGTATGGAAGGCTTAAAATTTATTATTTTAATGACCTTACCTTGATAATGTACAAATGTCGATTGCTTGGGTACCTCTGTCCCATTCGTGTTTCAACCGTGAAGCAGTTGTGTTTGCATGGCTGTGTTTCGGTTTGAAGGGTGGGATATAGCGTGAATTTACAGGGTACAGAGGAATAACACCTGAGTCCTAAGGAATGGAAACACATGGGGGGTATCATAGGCGAAACAATATGTGTGTGTACTGTTATATCCATGGTACTGCTCATGTCTATAGGCGACGGTTACCACTCACAACGGTTCCATCAGGTGGGCCGTCAGCTTGTTTGCCATTGTAAGTTGTATTAAAAAATATGTAGTAAATAAGCTGTATTCAATATGTGAGTAATGATACCTTAATAATAATAAAATTAAGGTCTAACCGAAGGATGTTCGCTGAAAATCAGCGTTGTAGCTCCTTGGACGCAGTATAACGTAGAGGGGGGACCTTCACCACCATAACCATTCATATATGTTATTTAACTCTGTATGTAGCTTTTTTGTAAATATAACGTTTGCTGTATAAGCTATTATTTCATATTTTAACGATTTCCCTATAGGAAATTTATTAATATTCATGGGCATCATTATATTTCGACTTGTTCCAATTAGTACAGGGCCGTAGCTAGATCCTAGTTGAAGGTAGGTCAAAAGATTTTTTTGATAGGGCATTGGGCCTTTAAAGGTAAAGCATTGCCCCTCAATGCCACCCTCCGACCCCTCTTGCTACTGCCATGAATTAGTAGCATAAAAAATTACAAACTATAGGATTAATTATACTAAAGAGGTACCCTTGCAGGGCAATAAGGGTACTAAAAGTGTATTGTAAATAGTTTATTGTATCTTATCATTATGGTTTATATGTATAGATCATCGAAACAGTAGATTTTATTGGACAACAGCGATTTCCTTACAGTTGTGACGGTTTTGGTAACTTGAAAATTGAAAAAAAATCTCGGCCTGACCATAATTGGTTTAACAAAACAAAATCTTAACTAATGTTAACAATTCTTCTATGAAAATAATACATATTTACAATGATTTCTAAGAAAATTATCAACATAAGATATAGAACTTTGAAAAAAAAATATAAGAAAACAAAAAAAAAAAAATAAAAAAATATATTTTAAATAACAGTGTTATGTTTACACGGTCCAATATATTTAATTTATAAAACATCCATCTCTATTCTAATATACAACCTAATTATGAGAATGCGAAAAGCAATTGCTATACCCAATATAGCCTTTTAGATATTTTTATACAATAACATATTGGATTTAAAAAAAAAAAAGTATAAAAGTACATAATTGAATGAAACTATTTTACTAAAGTATTGAGGGCTCTTTTACAATAGCGCAGCGCAGTCAGAGCCCAACAAAATAGGAGTTACATATTAAGTTATATAAGAATGTATGTCACATATAACCTATTGCTTTTCCCCTGTTGGGAAAATTCCAACAGATATTTTTTTTTTTTGCAGTCATATTTATAAATTATTATTAATTAAAAAATATCTGAAATGCATCGACCTCGACCGTATATAAATATCTGGCCAATTCCAATAAACGTACAGTGTTAGTTGAAAAAAGTGTACAATAAAAAACTCAGTGATAGCATTCATAAAACTGAATAACCTAAAAAAAATAAACTTGAATATATTCAGCATGATCTAATCCCAAACTAAACGACTATGGGGACCTGAAAACTTATATTTTTTCTTATAAATACAACATATATACAAATTTCCAGACAAATACAAATAGTGTGTTAACTGTCATAATTTTTTTTTTATTTTTTATTATTCACACAATCATTTTAGTATGAAAGTTTCAGTTTTCTAAACTAGCTAATTTAACAGACATCCTGTCCAAATTCTACATTTTTCTACCTAAAAACCCGAGCTATATAATAAATTGGCTAAATCAGTCCAGCTGTTCTCAACTAGCATTTAATTTTTATTTACATAGTTTTCGTTATGGGGAAAATGGTGGAGTTCCATGAAACCTATCACTGTATTTCATATGGATATACTTTTACCAACTGCACCTGTATGAGAAATTCGGATTAATATAACAATTTAATCATACTTGTAAACCTTAATGCACATCAAAGAACACCATGGAAGAACAAGGGAAGTAAATAATGTCAGCTTTTCATTTTCTAAAGTCAGCTTTAAATTTATTTTTAGAGGGCGTCCTTATTATAGATTTTTAATTTATCTTTCCCACTTTATTTCAACTTTTAATTCTCATGTTATTTCACTAAAACATTCTAATAAAGCAAAATAATTTATTGCCATAAATCGCACTTAAGGGGCGGAAGGGGTCATTCAATCTTGTCAAAGGGGATTAAGGGGTTCAAATAAAAAAACAGCCTTTACATAATAGACATCCCCTTATTTAAATTAAAATGCAAATTAACTCGTCCATGCTATAATGGTCCCGTAGCATTGTCGTGAATGTAAAAAAATAAATATATATATTGTAATGTACTTAAAACACAAGTGTGCTTGCGGTTTGTGCTTATGAATGCATTAAGGTTGCAATTCACTCAGTCTTCTTTGACTTGCTGTCGCTGGCCGCTGTCTCAGGTATTGCTGGTTGATCTTCGTAACTGGAACAGATGAATATTAATTAACCGACTTAAAAAAGAGGTTCTCAATGCAACTAGTTTTAAGAGATTTCCAATTTCTCAAAAAAATTATCTGTGGCCACGTTACACATATGAGTAGTCAATGAACCAAATGAAATTTTAGAATGAACCGATATTAATGTTTGTTTTTGCAAGCAATAGCGTCTACTGTTGTGTTCGCCCCATAATCATGATTGAAATTATTTTTGTAGACAATTATTAAAATTTATGTCGAATAATCTCTCGTCACACTTTAAAGCCTGAGCAGACGAGACAAACAAAAGGAAATTCAGGCAAAATTAAATAAACGTATATAAGCATAAATATCAAGCAGCCATTTAGCAGAATGTATGCTATGAGTGTAACCCTCTTTAGGATAGAAAAGACGAGAATTCACTTACTTGAACAAAGCATTGATATCACCCCGCAGTAGCGCCAACGTGAGCGGCGTGCCCAGACATGCCGGCACCAGGTACAGCAGCGCGGGTTGCGCGTGCTTGAATATGTGCATCACCAGGATGGTGGCCAGCAGTCCCAGGATGTACGCGGAGAAGGTGGCGCGGAAGTAGAACTCGGAGCCGCGCTTCAGGCTTTTGTCGAACCGGAGAAGTAGGGCGATGAAGATGCCCGGTACCACAATATCGCCCAGGCCGAGCATAGCGAAGTTGCTCGCGTTGAAACCGTTGACTAGTAGGTCTTGGGGGAACACCACTGGAATATTAAAAAAAAAAAATATTAAACACGTACCGTGTTGACCCTTCTTTCTTTTCTGTCCTACCCAAAGGTTGTCCAGAAAAGAGTGCTTTAGCAATAAGTCAATCTTTTAAGCTATATTATTGTACCAAACTGTTTTTATTATTACTCGTAACTGGTATGACAAAGAGAAAATTTTAAATTATAAAAATTTATTTAATATAATATTATTTAATAAAATATTAAATTAAATAAATTTTAAAAATAAAAAGCTTAGAAATGTAATTTAGTAAACTTTTCATACAGAAATCCTTTATACTCAAATTTTGTTTATTCTATAAGCCATTAACTGTCCACTGCTGAACATAGCCTACCTCATAATCAGGGTTTTGTTTTTTAATACACTTTTTGTTAGTTACTACGCTTACCAGGGGAGTTGGCAAACGCAGTTTAGCTTTTGGTGATGTTTTAAGACGGACACTGCAGCCTATATCACCACCATAAGCTTCTTTAACTGACTTGCCTTCATCCTCACCTATCATCTATCACTGGTGCCCCGCCAGCATATATCGACAGTGCAGGCAGAGTTACCATTCCATTTACACACATTAAAAAAATATTAGATTACACTGATTAATAGTAATCCAATTAGATTAAATTTTGCTTACATTTGATGGGCGCTTCGAAAGATTTGGCAACTGTGACCATCACATTGGTACCGAATACCCAGAAGATGTCGTAGAGGAACAGGCCACAGAGCAGGATGCACCCTGTCACCACGTTATTCAGATGGAGCAGTTCCACCCCGTTGATGGCGAATGCAATACCGAATAAGTTGTTGGCGATCCAGTGCTGAAAATTATATTATTGTTAATGATTTTTTTAACACATTTTCTAATATTATTATTAAAATATGGAGGTGTTGAGTGTTACGTTCTCCGCGATAATTTATTTATTAGTAATTTATATTTCGTTGTATAAATTATATTTATATTAGTTTACAAACTGCATGTAGAAAGATTTAAATTATTATATTATATTAGGGAAAGGAGGGAGACTGTACAAAAGTTGTCTGCTTGGGTACGTCTATCCCATTTGCGTTTCTGTCGCGAAGCAGTTGTGTTTGCATGGCTATGTTTCGGTTTGAAGGATAGGATATGACAATAAAATTACAGGGTACAGGCATAACTCCTTAGTTCTAAAGAATGATAACGTATAAGAGGTATCATGGGCGAAACAGTATACTCTGTTATGTCCATGGTACTGCTCATATCTATAGGCGACGGTTACCACTTTCCATCAGGTGAACCGTCAGCTTGTTTGCCATTCTAAGTCGTATAAAAAAAAGGTACAATATGACTCACCACGAGGGGTATATTTTTTTATTATAATTCAAAGAATAATTAAATTTTACCAACCACATATGTATATTAAATTTAATTCTCATGCCTAAGTACGTAAGAACAAAAACAACATGTAAGCAGTAATATGACCGATTCTCGGTATCGCCCACCTGGCGATGCAGAAAAAGACGAGTCGTCGAATACATTTATTCGATTTTGATTATACTTATATGACATGTAATGCCGATAAAGTCGATATTTCAATGAACAATATGGAGATAAAGAGTGTAAGTTGAGACTAAGGTGTCAATTTCTGTTAAGTTTGTAAATTCCATTGCTTAAAGGTAAAAAATATAAAAAGTGGTATTGGGCAATATATTAATTTGAATTAAATTAAATACGAGTAACTACCAAATAGATTTTATTAATACGTCTTTATCAATTCTATTGAATATCCGTTGGTAATTAAGATGAAATTAGTCGAGTTTTTTTTTTTTTTTAAGTATGAATTATTAAAAAGAATCAGCAAAGAATAATATATTTAATGTTACAATCAACAACCATATATGAACATCTAGTTACCATAGCGACCTAAACACAGATACATAACTACACTGATTTAAGATCACTAGACGTGCCACATACTGGAAGTGCTTCCATAACATGAATTAGACATTTTTTTTGCATTTCAAAGACACCAGGTTAATGAAAGTATGACACGAATAATTAAAAGACTAGAGAGAAGAAGAGTGGAAGTGAATGAAGGATTGATTAACCGAGAATTGTAGAAATACTTGTAACTCGAAAATTTTATATACATTTGTAGAAAGGGTAAGAATTTATATATGTCAAATTAAATTTAAAAAGGCCTCAATAAAGTATTTTGGGTATGGCAGAAGAAGCATGAAAGTAAGATAAATGCTGTACAGATGAGAGCTTTGAGAAGTATGTGTGGTATTACTTTAAAAGATAGAGTAAGAAACAGTGTGATTAGAGAGAAGTGTGGACTGAAAGACGATGTAGTGACAAAAATTGAAAAAGGAATGTTGCGTTGGTTTGGTCATTTGGAGAGGATGGATGAAAGAAGAATTACGAAAGAGATTTATCGATCAAGAATGAATGGAGATGTCGGTAGGGACCGCCCTAGACGGACGTATGTCGACCAAATAGGCGACGTGCTGAAGAAGGGCCAAATTAAAAGTACCCGTAACCGACGAGCGTGTATGACAAGATTGATGAATGTGGAAGAAGCGAAAGAGGTTTGTTTGAATCGAAGCATTTGGCGTTCCATTGTTTCTGCCTACCCTAATGGGAGACAGGCGTGACAGATATGTATGTATGTATGTAAAGTATTTTATGAAGTATTTTATGAAGTATTTTATGTACAATTGAGGTGATAATAAATCTTTTATTTTGACACGAGTCTGCTAATGAAAGATTATTTATTATATGAGAAAAAAAAAATTAGTGAATAAAAGGATTTGTGTTTGCATAGTTAACACAACTAGTCAGTTTGAAGGGTGATAGATGAATAGGTGATAATGGAATGGTAACCCCGCCTGCGCCAACGGTATATACTGGCGGGACACCAGTGAGGGACGATAGGTGTGAATGAAAAGGCAGATCGGCTCGTCGCGATAAATACACTTGGAATTCAGCACGATGGTTTCCAGGTAGGACCATGAGTAGGTCGACTTGACAGGGTATATACTAACAATGGATCTGCCAGACCGCATTACTAATAATTCCTTCCCCCCTCAGTTTGAAGGGTGGGATATGGCAGTGAAATCACAGGGTACAGAGGTAAAGCACATTAATCCTCAAATATGGCAACGCATAAGGGATATCATGGGCTTACAAAGTATACTCTGTTATATCTATAGTACTATTCTTGTCTATAGGCGACTTTCCATCAGGTAGGTAGTTAAATTCTTTGCCATTTGAAATTACATATAAAAAGGTTTTTCAACAATAAGAAAATTATTACTTTTGAATAGAATAAAAATCCTCGCATTTATATTATATTATTATTATTTTAGCCATTAACTGTCCACTGCTGGACTTAAACCTTCCTCATAAGGGGAATTTTGCCAGTGATTGGTACACTTACAGGTTGGCAACCCAGGCAGTTAGCCCTTTGAGGATGTTTTAAGAGGGACACTGCAATCCATCATATTTTTTTTTTAAATATCTCCCATGTACAGACACCATCTAGTTTTATTATATCAGTAAGATTACTATTGGGACCAACATACCTTTTTGAAGAGGTACCAAGCGCCGAGGCAGAGCGATATGATGAGACATATGACGTCATACGAGGTGAACTTGTAGTTGACGATGTCGGTGCGGCCGTCGCGCTCACCGCGCGTGAAGTGGATGTGATACGGCACGTTGGGCACCGACGCCGGCACCATGAACGATATGATCGGGCTGGTGGGAAATAAAAATTCAACCGTTACATGTAGTGTCGACTTTCGAATGGTTACCATCAATAATATGATTAGACTGATGGGAAATAAATCTTTAAAAAATCAGCAGTTACTTGAAAAGCTTGAGATGTAGCAACTCCTTTAGATTTTAGAGATTTATACTGAATGAATGAAAATTTATTTCAATAATCTACAACACTTACATATACTTAGACTGCAAGTAATAGCAACATTATAAAAAAAATAGAAAAAAAAATTACATTTATATATATATATATATATATATATATATATATATATATATATATATAATAATATTTATATATATATATATAAAGTGTAGTTAAAATCGGTTAGTGTTATGGAAATGAAAGTATGCCAATTCAGCTTAAACTTCCCGCGGAAGCAGAAACACTGATTTTCAATTTGCACCTCATATACTGTACATTGAATTAGGTGCATTAACTTATATAAATCTCTTTATATCAATTTGTAGTCTCTGATGGTTGTCAATAAGGAAAAACATTACACATCTTTTAAAAAAATTGAAAATTGTATTATACTTATATAGTCAAATAAAAAAATAATAAAAATAAAGTAATTGAAAAGGTTTGCACCTTCATAGTTTCCATATTAATATTGATAAAATAAAAGAATTAAATAGTTACTTACCTAAGAAGATGGCTCAAAGCAAGCACACCGAGGAAGAAGAAATATCCAGTGAGAAGAAGGTTGATATATTCTTTGGAGAAGAATTGGAAGAACACGTAGAGACCGAAGAGGGCGCAGGATGCAATGAGTGGGAACATGAGTGCATCCTTGTTGGACATCGTCTCATGACTTTGGCCAGACTCCTGTAGAAGGAAACATTAAATATTTCAATTATCAAATTATCTATTATCCACTGCTGCCTAATCTGTTTTATATTTCCTATAAGTTATGATTGTGCAACACTTTTATATATAGATTTGACCATCTATGGATAAAAGTTTTGCAATGACTTTAAAATTCATCATTTGACCAATATGTAATGCCACACTGCTCTCACCTACACAAAATTGGCACTCGAAACCCTTTCTACTCTTTTTTTTTATTACTTGTTGCTCTGGGTAAGTCCCATTACTATATGGGCCAGTTTCAGTACCTACAATTAACTATATAGATAATTTATTTGCATTACTTACAGCACACAAATTACAATACAAATATACACATAATATAGAGTAAAACAGATAAAAGAATGAAAAACTAAAAAAAGCAACATAAAAAAAGAACAAAAAGCAAAATATATAGAACAACAATTTCCTTTTTTTTATGGTTTTTTTATACAACTTAGACTGGCAAACAAGCTAACGGCCCACCTGATGGAAAGTGGTAACCGTCACCTATAGACATGAGCAGTACCATGGACATAATAGAGTATACTGTTTCGCCCATGATACCCCCCATGTGTTGCCATTCTTGAGGACTCAGATATTATTCCTCTGTACCCAGTAAATTCAGTAAATTCCTTTTTTCATGTGTGTGCCATAGTAATACAGTTTATTTATTAACCACTTTTCCCCTACTATTATCAAAATAATTCATATAATTATTTCTTAAATAACTCTCATGTATGGATATGGTCTAATTACTATTTTATTACATCATTAAGACTACTAAAGTACAATTAATGCTACTATTATAACAACTTATCATTAAATGGAGTCATGATCTCAAATGTGTTACAGGCAGACAGTAAATGCAGATGGCTCAGGACTTCCTGATAGCCGTTTGTAGGGATGCTTTATGTTCAGCAGTGGGCAATGAATAAGGATTGTAATGAATGAGTTAGTTATTCATTCATAATTTAATATAATTTGTTCTTCAACTATTCAACTAAAATAAATTTGATGTCTACATTCTAAGTTGTATGCATGGTGCAGATGTCAGTTTAATAAAAGGTTACAAAAATTCAATGGATTTAACATCTCAACTGTTAAAGACTGTTCTGATTATTAGCTTAACTTTGACTCCAATAATTTTACTTTATAGTCCATTTACAACAAAAACTACCAAAGTAACAGCTGTAACCTGTACCATGCATAACATACAGATGATGTCTGTTACTGTCCAATAAACAAACAGTCAAGAAAACAATGTCACTTTGATAAAGTAAAATGATTCTCTTTATTATCATTTAATTATCAGTTTTTATGTATCATTTATATAATGTTTTATGATTTAATCAATTACCAAATAACTGTTAATTAACCATAAATAAATTTATGGTTACATAATTATAATACAAATTAATAGTCTCATTAGTTACATTTATCCATTTTTCCAAATGGTATCTGAATTAAAAAAAAATTAATAGCATTTTAATCATGTTTTATTTGCTACAAAATGGTTTCTAATTCTCCTATAATGTATATAAGTATGCAAGAATTTATATAAATATTTAAAATAACAATAAATATTTATTATCTATGCAAATAGATTTAAATAATTAAAATAAAGTTATTTTTAATTTACAATAACAACACTTAACGAAGTGTATTGAAAATTAATTATTGTTATCATATTACAATTAGGTTATTTATGCGTACGCAAAGTTTACGTACGTCGTACCTACACGCAATGAGGAACATATGCCACGACGAACTATGTGTAGCTTTATTATTGGTCACTTTTTTATTCATGAAAATTATGTTAGAAACTCTCAAAAATAATGAGTTGTGACGAAACTCACCTTTTGCTCCTTCAGATACTTTACAGACCGAAATGACCCGAAAAATATGGGTAATATAGCCATAATAACTAAACTCAAGTATGCGATAGCAAGACCCTCAATACTTGTGGGCGGCTTGTCCGTGACATTTTTGACGGTTTCCTTAACACTCTCTTCCAGGATACTTGGTATTTCTGTGGCTGAATCTGCCATTTTTATTTTATTGTTATTAATATTAAGTACTGAGATGCTTTCCCTTATGAACCTAGTTTAACAAGAAAATGACAAGTGTACACTTAATTTTCTTATGTTGGTATGGAAAGTCAGGGAATATATTAAGCTTGCCATAAACGAAAAGTATTGTAACTAACGTTTTCTGAATCTATAATTATTGTTAAATAATTTATGGATCCTGGCGCCTAATCATAGGCATGTAGCAATATTGAGTAAATTTTGTACAAAAGACAAATTCTTACAATTTACGTACCTATGGAGACATTGGAAATTGGAAATGTGTCTATGATTTTTTAAAGGCAAAATGTCTATGATTTCATCTTAATATTGGCTATCCGTAGAATGTCAAAGAGTATACTGTCAAAAGCAGATCAATCAATTGTCAAACGTTTTCTAGTCTAGTTTTATGTATACTAATTTGTTTAAAATAAAATAAATAATTTATAATAAGACGACATGATAAATATCTTCAAGGAGTGTTTTCTTCAGTAAATTTACGGTATTAAAATTCTAGAAAAATGGAAGTGACTGCAGGAGCAGAAGAGGGTTTTGTTCGTGAATGGACACCTTGCTCGCATATTTTAAATTTAATTCCACCTCGCATTCAAAATGGTTTATTTTCTAATGAACTCTGCCTAACTTGTGTGGATGCGGTCAGTGAATACATTGCGCTGGGAACAAATGTCGGCTTGGTGTATTGGTACGATCGGAAAAAAGGAAACATCCAACGTTTAAGATGTGAGGTAGGAGAATACCTACGTAAACATCCATATGTTTTTAATTTCGCTTTCATTTACCTTGTAACACTTTTATATATACTTTCGATAGATAAGATAGGTGACTTGTTTTTATGTCGCAATATTAAATCACATCTTGTGTTACCTTATTCACAACACCGTACTAGTTTAGGTGTATTGATATACAAAAAAGAACCAAAATACGCACACGGAACTGAAAAAATGGTATTCAAAATAGAGTGCATTCGATCATATTATACCCTCATTTTTAATCATCTGTGATGTTTGCAACATACTGCTTGTAAACATCTCTATTACAAATTTATTTTAATATATACAGTAATTAATTGTCTATCAGTCATGTTATGTCCCACAACAACTACTTATTTCTTTTAATTTTGTATCCTTATAAGTATTTTTGGGTTTAACATTTGTATATCAATATGAATGTAGAATAATTTGTATCTATTTTTATTGACATGTTTTAAATCAGTAAAGTATAATATATAATTGTTGATATGTGTTGAATAACAACAATTATTATTATAACTTATTATGTAGATACCAATGTAAGAAAAATAAACAGAAATATTACTTTTATCACTTGAAAAATAAGGAAAACACAAGTATACCTATTATAGAGATAATGGCTCTATCACTGTTTACATATGACTTACTTATACATTAATGGATTTGTTATCTGTACCAGTTAATTTTGTATTTACATATTACTATTTATGTCTTTATTTGTTACTTCCTTTTTTAGGTTTTAAAAACATCTTCTGTTTTTGAAATTTGAAAATGGAACTGAAATTCTCAATTTAAAAACTTTTAGTTACCAAAAAAAATTTTTTTATGTGATAAACAATATTTTTACTAAACTTGGATTGATAGATTCTTTATAACAATTTATTAACAACATTTTGAGGATAGTAAATTCTTAAAATAATAGTTTATCATTGCAAATTATATTTTTTTTACTTTGTGAATTCTGTCTGTTAATAAATCGCCAATTGCCTAATCATAGGTGTCTAAATGGATTTTGTTTTATTTTCTAAATAAATGCAATAAAAGAATCTAATAAAAAATGATAATTTAAAAGAAGTTGTAAATAAGTCTATTTAATAAAAAATATTTGAATTTGAACTAGTTTATTTGACATTTTTTTAAAATACTATACAATGAATAAATGTTAGATTTCCTTTGTGAAGCTGTACTTACTTAGACTTACAAACTTTTGTTAATGCTAAATAAACATAAATAAAAATGAAGTATATTTTTTTTCTTGAAATGGATCATGTACAATAAGTCTCTTGTTATATACAGACAACAACGAGCCCCATAACTTATGTGAAGATCGTAAGCACAGTGGACTTCATGGTGGGTGCTGGCAATGCTGCTGGTCAGGTCACTGTGTTCCAAATACCGAAGGAGCATCCAGAGAATGTTCCGGATACATTTAAACCTAAAGTAGAACCCAAAGTTGAGAGGTAAGGCTATATAATTTTTATGGACCTTTTGCTCTGTGGTGGTTTATACTTACACAAAATTACACTTATAAAATCTTAATTTAACCAATCAATATTTAATTTTTTTTTATGATACTTAGAATGGAATGCTATTTAAAGGCCTATCTGATGGAAAGTAAGAAAAGGTTACCATAGGCTATAGATACAAACAGCACCATGGGCATTACAATATACACTCTGATACCATGGTACCTCTCATGCATTACCATTCCTGAGGTCTATGCCATGTCACCATACTTTGTAAGGCTTATAGGCTACCAACCTATTTCAAATCTATATAGGTTTAGAAAAATAAATAGTGACATACTTGGCTAAATGCTAAATGAGATTACAGGGGTACAGAGGAAGTTATACCTCTACTACGGTACCTTAATCCTCAGGAATGACAACATATAAATGGGCGACACAGTATACTTTGTTATATTCATGGTACTGTTTGTGTCTATAGGTGACAATTAACACTTTCCATCAGATGGGTTTTTTGTTTGCCACTCTGAGTTTGTCTTGAGAGCAAAGAAGAAATTAGAATTCCAATACAATACTTTCATACTCTATAATTTCACTGCCATCAGTCTTCAAACCGCAACATAGAGTATTCTCTGTTATATTCTGATAATCCTCTCTCATACTTGTTATATTGTAAATTATAATCACTTTACAGGTATACAATAGGTGATCTTCACAAAAGCAAAATAACAGCAATAGAATGGTCTAAAAATGGCATGAGACTGTTCTCTGGTGACAAGAATGGTGTTATCATCATGACTGAGATAGATTTTTATATGGTGAGCACTAAATTATCTATTAGTTTTTACCCACGTCTTTTTTTTTATGCAACTTAGAATGGCGTATAAGCTGACAGCCCACCTGATGGAAAGTTGTAACCGTCGCCTATAGACATGAGCAGTATCATGGACATAACAGAGTATACTGTTCCGCCCATGATACCCCCATGCGTTGCCATTCCTGAGGACTCAGGTGTTATTCCTCTGTACCCTGTAAAATCACTGTCATATCCCACCCTTCAAACCAAAATACAGCGATGCAAACAAAACTGCTTCACGGTAGAAACACGAGTGGACAGAGATGCCCAAGCAAACTACTTTTGTCCAAAGTCTCCCTCTGGTAAACTTTGTACTTTTACAAGTCATTTTTATGCAATCTATTATGTTTGTCTTTATATAGCATCTATGCAAGTCAATGGAGATAGTGAACGAAGAGCACGAAATAGTCCAGATGAGTTACTACCAGAACACGCTGCTGGTGTCCAGCGTGTATCGCAGCATCGTGTGCGAGCGGCGCGACGCCCGCTGGCACGTCTCGCAGCTCGGCAAGAAGGAGCGCAAGAGGTATGCATTAGTATTAATAATAATAATAATATGTTTTTTTCAAGTGAGATACAGTTGCATAAAGTACAATTTACAATTTTTACAATTTATATTGAAGGAGAAAAAAGTCTGCATTACCATCAGTCTCCAAACTAGGGTAGATGTGAATTTACTGGGTACAGAGGAATAACACCTGAGTCCTCAGGAGTGGTAACGCATGGGGGATATCATGAGCGAAACAGAAAACAGTACTCTGTTATGTCCATGGTACTGCTCATGTCTATAGGCGACGGTTACCACTTTCCATCAGGTGCGCCGTCAGCTTGATTGCCATTCTAAGTTGTATAGAAAAAAACATGTATTTTTGGGGATTATGATTGCCTGGTTATATAATACTCTATTTGTTTATTTCCGCTTTGACAAGTTAACTAATTAATTACTGGTAGTAAGTTTGCATCATTTGGAATTGTAAGCAGAACTGGGCAAATCCCAATTTGCATATGGGCACAAGGCCCTTTGGTGACGTAAAAATACTATTTAAAGAAATGTATTTCTTGTAAAACTAAACCTAAAAACTCTCTGACCTCAAGGTCATGGATGGTGATACAATTTACACCTCTGTTTCTAAATATCATAAAAAATATAAGTATTTATAAGCAATTGCAAAATGCCAAGACATTTATTATCTTGACAGTTTAATTGTGTTCTGATTTTGGGTTTAAACAAAAAAAAAACCTTTATTAATCGTAAAGTCGTAGCGAGCGAGCCGTTGCGTCATTCCAATCTGAATTTTAAAAGTCGTCCTTTGACGTATTATAGCAAAAGTTTTTTTTTTTTTTAAGTAAAATAGTGAACCAATCGTGGGGCACAGCCGGTGTTGCCATCTTTCGCTTCATACTGTACGCGACATATGATGACATAGTACCCATTATTGTAATTAATATATGTATACATTACTCATATGTGTTTTTGTCACGGTAGGCTAACTGACCTGCTTCCATCCTCACCTATCTTCCCTCACTGGTGTCCTGTCAGCGTATACCGATAACGCAGGCGAGATTACCATTCCATTATCATCCATAAAAAAAAATTGTCTGTTACTATAATACGAGGTCTGTCCGGAAAGTTCGTATAAAAGTGTTCTGGAATGCGAGAAAGAGGAGTGGGGAGGCCAGGTAAGCGCAGGACCCCTTCCTTATGTCCCTAACAATGCTTCAGTTCTGGTCTGACCGCCGTGCGGTGCGAACTGGCTTGTCACGCCATCTGTGAAGTTACCTCTTAACGAAACCCCGTCGGCATGGAGCCCGCTTCCGTTGAAGAGCAGCGCGTCGTAATCAAGTTTCTCTCGAAACTCGGCAAGAATGGCCGTGAAATTTTTGCCGATCTCAGAACAGTTTATGGGGATGATGCTGTGAAGGAACCAACCGTCCACAAGTGGCTAAAAAGATTCAGAGAGGGCCGAGAAAGAGTTCGATGTTCGGGGGATTGTCCATCAAGAATTCGTCCCTCCAGGCCAGACAGTTGATGGAAAATTCTACGTCGATGTGCTCAGACGCCTCAAAGCTCGTGTGGCACGAGTTCGTCCAGAATTGGCGCGAGAGGGGCGTTGGATTCTTCACCACGACAATGCCCCTGCCCACACCTCTCTTGTTGTCCGTGAGTTTTTGAGTAAAAATTCCATTACGGTGACCGAACACCCCCCTATTCGCCGGATTTGGCCCCGTGTGACTTCTTCTTGTTCCCAAAAACCAAATTGGTACTTCGGGGGCGGCATTTGGGGGACATAAATGAGATAAAAAAAGCTACGACGGGGCAGCTGAGAAACCTACAACCAGAGGACTTTCAAGGAGCCTTCTCACAGTGGAAACGGCGTTGGCACAAGTGCATTATGTCACAGGGGGAGTACTTTGAAGGGGATAAAATTGATTTACCTGAATAATTGTAAAATAAAATTTTTAAAAAACTTTTATACGTACTTTCCGGACAAACCTCGTATATCACTTATCTATTCTCAATGGTGACCCGCCAGTGTAAGCTCAATACAGTCCATTTAAAAGCAGTAGAGGGTAATGTCGTGTCTGTCGGCAGCCTGTGCTCGCTGGGCGCGGTGTTCGCGTACTCGTACGCCCGCGGCGGCGGCGGCGGCGCCGCGCCGGCGGCGTACTGCGCGCGGCCCGGGCTGCGGCTGTGGCGCGCCGACCGCGCCGGCACCGTGCACCAGACGCTACTTTTCAAGGTACCTCCCACATACCATATATATGTTGCACTGAAAATTTTTAACCAGTCAAAAGTACTATTGACTAGCGAAGTCATTCAAAAGTACTCTTGACTGTGACCATATGTTTAAGTCAATAATACTTTTTACTAAAATAACAGTTAAAAGTACCTAACCTAACCGCAGATTTGCAGTCAAAAATACTAATAACCGATAATTTTCAGTCAAAACCACTTTTGACCAACCTGTTCAGTCGAAAGTACTTGTGACTGACTTCGCTAGTCAATAGTACTTTTGTCTGGTTAAGAGTTTTGACTGCAACATATACATTACCTCGACCGTATCTAGGGTGTCAGTTTTCTATGCCAGACGTCTTCTGTCATTAAACTTTAACCTTAGCGTCATAAATACAAAGACGATATATATAAATAACAATTTATAAGACCATAATAAAAAAGAATTTTGAAAAATCTTCTATTCCTCCACCAAATAAAGTATTGTCTCTTCATTTTAAATTAAGAATTCATTTCATTAGTATGTGACAACACAAAAAGTACGGTTTCAGAGGAATTTTCGCTCGCGAACGCTCAGGCTGTACAATGAGCTTCCTGCCTAGGTTTTTCCCAGAAAATACAGTATGGGGTTCTTCAAAAAAGGTGTAGTAAGGTTTCTTCAAGGTCGGTAACGCATACGTAACATCCCTAGCATTATAGGCGCCCATAGGCGACAGTGACCATTTACCATCAGACAGGCTGTATGCTTGTTTGATGGTAAACGTTTATATATATATAAAGCACTTTGATACCTAAATTTAGTTTATTACTTGTTACCGTGTTTATAAATGAGTGTTATTATTATTTTTTTTAATTCCAGGAAGCAATATCAAATCCGTTGACAGTCGCCGAACTGCTGAACCCCTCGCTCCGGAAGCACTCTCATTCGGACGGGGAGTACAACCTGGGGCCGCTGTATGTGTTCCGCGAACACTTCCTCGTGTCGCACAACGAGCACTTCCTGTACATATTGGACCCGAGGTCGTTGACCGCGGTCGCTGTTGTGGATGACCTCAGGCGGTTAGTTCATGTTTTTTTTTTAAGTTCTAGAACGTCTGCGTTATCGGTATACGCTGTTGAGGTACTAGTGAAGTGAGGGGTGATAAAGAAATATCGGTCGATCGAAAGGTCTTCAAAAGGGGGGTAAAGAGGTTTCTTTAGAATCGGCACAGCACGCGTAATGCCTCTGGTATTGCAGGTGTTCATAGGCTACAGTAACCGCTTACCATTAGGTGGGCCGTATGTTATTTTTGCCACCTCAGTGGTATAAAAAAAAATAAAAATAATACTCATAATAATAAAAATAGTCCTCAAGAATGGCAACGAATAAAGGGTACCATCATCATCTTCCTACCCTTATCCCAATTATTATTTGGGGTCGGCGTAATATGGTTTTTTATTCATATTATGAAAAAAATTGGCTTATAGTTTTACGACCGGCCGCCTGCCTGACATCAACCCACTTTGGGAAATCATCATTGGGAAAGGTTTTCATGGGCGACAAATTACACTCTGCTATCTCCATAGTACTGTTATTATCTTTGCAACAAGCGGTTGTCTGTCATTCTAAGTTGCGTAAAGTATTTTTAATATTGAAGTGAGACTAATATTTTATTTCGCAAAAAGAGCAAACTCAGGCTGGAATTTAATATGTCGTATTACTATGTGTGGCATGCAGGAAAATACGACACATTTAATTACTATAAAATAATACAAGCTACTATGGTATCTACATAATTGAAATATCCTCCTTGTAAATTTTCCTGTAAATTGGATTTATTTTCCTTGTAAATTCATTATACTGTTATATGTCAAGGTGTGGTATGAGGTAAATAATAAAATAACTATTTATGTATGTTTATTTACATGCAGGAGTTTTTATATGATGAATACGTAATGTTATGTAAATGCTATTTTTGTTTTTTTTTATTTTCTGTGTATCATCACTACATAGTATAAAACAAAGTCGCTGTCGCCGTCTGTCCGTCCTTATGTATGCTTAAATCTTTAAAACTACGCACCGGATTTTGAAGCGATTTTTTTTAAATAGATAGAGTGATTCAATAGGAAGGTTTGTATGTATAATACATGCATAATATTGTAGAGGAACACTGATAAATTTATAGGTTACTAATGTGACGTGATGTAATGTGTACCCGTGCAAAGCCGGGGCGGGTCGATAGTGCTATATAAAATTTTCATTAATAGAATAATGAACAATTTATACTGCATACATATTTAATGACTAATTAGTCTAAGGATGTTCGTGGATCACAAATTTCAGAAGAATTACCACAGGGACTTATACAAGAGTCGACTGAATGGAAATCCTTGTCCCAATCTGTCATTTCTGTCATGAAACAGCTGTAATTGCAAGGCTGTGTTTCAGTTTAAAAAATAGGATATGACAGTAAAAATTACAGGGTACGGAGACTTAATTCCACAGTCCTCAGGAATAGTAACAATTGACGTCACAGTGTATACTGTTATGACCATAACGCTGTACATATCTATAAGCGACAGTTACCACTTTCCATCAGATAGGATAGGATAGCCTGTTTGTTATTTTAAGTTTTATAAAAATATATATATTGCCAGGATCCTGTCGGTGTCGGTGAACAAAGACGAGATCTTCGTGCTGGAGGGGCCGCGGTCGCTGCTGCGGCTCGCGCACTCGCCCGAGCCGGCCGCGCTGGCGCCAGGTCTGTTCACCAAGCACACCGCTAGTTAGCTAGCTAGGTTAAGTCAATTCCACACCGAACGGAGCGCTTAGCTCACTGACACGTTTTTTGTTACCAAATTACATAGTTTTTTTTTATTAGTTTACAATTATTGACTTAAATCGACAATAATGAATGTTAGGTAGGTAAGTGGTTTTTAGAAGCTTCCAGAATGATCTTTGATGTTATGAAGTGTATCGTAATAATATTTATATATACGTGATTTGATTTCCGCCTTCATAATGGAGCGTCTTAGACAAAACCTTATAACGTAAGGCAAGTAATCTAATAAGTTAACATAATAAAGTTCTCTTTAGGGTCACTTGAATGTTGCGAGCGCCTTTACGCTATATTAATTGCTTGGTGGACCATATTCTTCATTTAAATTAACAATATGCTTGAATGATGTCTTCAAAACTGACTACCAAAAATTAAGAATAACAGAGTCGACTTCTATAATTATTTTCTATAAATTGTAATATATTCCAATCTTTTCTCTACACCAATATATAAGTACTTAACTATTAACTACTTAATAATACCTAAGTCTCATAAGTATTTACTGCGCTCCGTCGGGTGTAAAACAGTCCTTAACATTTCACTACTCAAAAAGACAACGAAATCATATTTGCCATCATACTTATAAGAAAGTAAGCTAGTGAGACACTAATACGGGGCCAATTTAGATACTTAAATCTTTAAACTTTGTAAATTTGTTAAGTTAAGAATTATAATAAAAAGTTGCTTTTTTATGAGGAGCCAACGAAAAACAAAAAAAAAAAATTAAAAGCGAAAAGTAAATTACACTAATAATATATAGATTTAAAACTATATTAGTATTTTTGAGAATGAAATATATATATATATATATATATATATATATATATATATATATATATATATATATATATATATATATAAACTAAAACTTCCTATAAATCAATTTTAAATATTAGAGTAATTTGCCCTTTAAATTCAAATAGGGGAAATTAGTACAAGAGGATTGAACAAAACACTTCAATATGTTTTTACGACGGTTTTTTAGGAAAAATGTCGACGTGCACAAATATATGTTACCTAATAAAGTGCAAATTTGTAAAGAAATCATACTATAACATCTCTTATTTAGTTTAGAAAGAATAAAGAAAAGTTTTAATTATAATAAAAATAATCCAATTTGACTTTAGAAAATAAAGTTGACTCTAAGGCGCCATTTTTCTAAACCTGTCTCTACAGTTAATGATAATTGTTGCCATAGCGAAATTTTTATTCTAAGGACTTTCTAAATTACTATAAATTTATGTTATGACGGTCTATAAAAATGTAATTTTGCGAAACTATAAAATTTAAATATTAATTAAATTTACAGAAATGGGACCTCAAAATTGAGGTCATTATTAGAGATAAGTTTTAGAAATTGCGTTTAAATGCATTTCAGAATAGACTTTACTCTTTTTAATTTTTACAATGAACTTTATATATGTCTACATAATTTTACAAATATACAATAGGACTACATAAAAGTATTTTTATATATATAATTATGTAGTTTCTTGTAGCGTAGTAACATGAAGACTTACAGTAATGAATTGTACCTAATTTGATATCCCCTAGTCTGGATTTTATTTTAAATGCTTATAGCATGCAAATTATATATACTAAGTTTATTATGCTGAGTAGTTTATAGTAGCATATTTGTAAGGCATTTCCTTAATTTTTTATGGTGCATCTTTATGGTGATTATTTTTTATTGAATTTTGTACTCTGCATGGTTGTACTTAAGGTAAATTTTAGTTATTCTATCAATGTATTTTATGTAATTTCTTCTGTACTTGTCATCGAGATTAATGTGAGCATAACATACATATTTGCATGATTTTTAAATTATTTAACTAGAATATTTTTGTGAAATGTGAATTTTGGATATGCACGATCAGTGTTTTTGCAAAGTGTACTTAGACTGCACTGCAGTACGGTTTAAATTCGATAAAGCAACTAATATACCATAAGTGCCTTTTCACACGCACCGGGTATTACTTACACGTAAGGGGGCGTTGAAGCTTAATTTATCTGATTCAATAGAATTTAGTGAAAGTGTAAACAAATTAATGTCATGTCACTCATGTCCTACAGCCTCAATGGTCGCGTACTGCGCGGTTTCAGAGATGTTTCCTCCCACGAACACTCAGGTTGTGGGATGAGCTCCCTGCTGAGGTTTTCCCAAGAGACTACAGCATGGGGTTCTTCAAAAGGGGGGAAAGAGGTTTCTTTAGGGTCGGCAACGCACGCGTAATACCTTTGGTATTGCAGGTGTTCATAGGCTACGGTAACCACTTACCATCAGGTGGACCGTATGCTTGTTTGCCACCTCTGTGTATAAAAAAAAAAAGTAATAATTGTCCCAACCAAAAGACAGTTTATATAATTATTTTTTATTATTTTATATTTGAGTTTTTATATTTGCACGCCTACAGTGTGACAGACTAAGACTGGACTAATTTTCTTCTAATGTAACATCTATAAAATTTACCTTATTTTAGCAAATAAATGAATTCTAATTCACTCAGCTGATATAATAGCAGTAAATTAATTAATTAAATGTTTCGACTCGTTAATGATTTTATTTAGACAGTAATTTATTTATTTAAAGGAACACCAACATATTGCATTATAACATATATAACAAACATTAATTACAATACAATATTAATGCACACGCCTTATTATAGGTATTCACAACATTTGCTTTAACATAGTTATACAGTGCGAGAAAATGAAGTAACAATAAAGTTCAATAAAAATTAATGACAAATAAGCTTGCCAACTCTTACGCGAACCGTACCGTAACAATGTGAAATGGCCTTTGCCGTGACGGGTTTCCTTCGTACTATAACCTCTAGCCCAGTGTTTTTTAAAGTTTTTTTTTATACAACTTAGAAAGGCAAACAAGCTGACGGCCCACCTGATGTAAAGTGGTAACCGTCGCCGTAGACATGAGCAGTACTATGGACATAACAAAGTGTGGGTCGCGACCCTTTAGGGGGTCCCCAAGCCTCTACAAGGGGGTCGCGGATGGTCGCGAAGCAGTGAAAAATCAACAGTTCCGTAAATACATAGACTACTTAAAACATAGATTTACATATTTGTTTTAGATACTTTATTATGTATTATTTATTTTATTTAATCGATACCTAACTGTGAATATAAATACAACTGTACAGATTTCATAATTGTACTATAATAAAATTCATACACATTCGAAACCGTGGAGGGTAAGAGGTCGCAAGATATTTTTACATACTAAGGGGGTCGCAAAATATTTTTACATACTAAGGGGGTCGCAAGATATTTTTACATACTAAGGGGGTCGCAAGATATAATTACGTAATAAGGGGGTCGCAAGATATTTTTACATACTAAGGGGGTCGCAAAATATTTTTACATACTAAGGGGGTCACAAGATATTTTTACATACTAAGGGGGTCGCAAGACATTTTTACAAAATAAGGGGGTGGCGTCATGTAAAGGATTGAAAAACACTGCTCTAGCCTTTCAAGCGTATCGCGAAAAAGTACTAATAAGCTGCCATAATGGGGTCAACCGTTGAGAGTGGAACGTTCCTTTTCGCGTATTCATGGAGCGTGTCGTATCTGTGTTCGCTCAGAATGATGTGGTCGCATATCGGGGTTTAAATAAAAAAAAGAAACCTGTTCACTAAATTCTATTGAAATAGACTATGTAGTATATAATTGTGAAACTTCCAGTATTCAGTATGTTTGAGTATATTCGGACATACTGCTAATTATAGTTGTAACAGGGTGCTTTTTAATTAGTAGTTATATATATATTCCATTTTGTATAGTTTATACTTATACATTATATATAAATACATATATATATATATATATATATATATATATATATATATATATATATATATGTATATAGATTTTTTTTTTTTTTTTTTACAACACAGGGGGCAAACGAGCATGCGGCTCACCTGATGGTAAGTGACTACCGCCGCCCATGGTCACCCACAACACCTACGGCATTGCAGGTGTGCTGCCGGCCTTTTAAAAAGGAATATGCTCTTTTCTTGAAGGTTATGTTGTCGTATCGGTTCGGAAATACTGCTGCTGGAAGTTGATTCCAAAGAGTGGTTGTGCGTGGAAGAAAGTGCCTTGAAAAACGCACGGTGGAGGACCGCCACTCGTCCAGATGGTTGGGATGAAATTTTAGTTTATGGCGGGTTGTACGATGGTGAAAATCTGCAGCAGGTATCAATCCGAACAATTCTTCAGAGCACTCCCCATGATAAATTCGGTAGAAGACGCACAGAGATGCAACATCTCTACGCAGTTTCAGTGGGTCGAGCCGGACAGTAAGACGCCGATCGTCAACAATTCGAGCTGCCCGACTTTGAATGCGGTCTAACGGAAGGAGTTGGTACTGTGGCGCTCCTGCCCACAGGTGAGAACAGTATTCCATGTGTGGCCTCACTTGAGCTTTATACAGTTTCAGGCGGTTTTCTGGCGTGAAATACCGTCTCACCCTATTGAGCACCCCCAACTTTTTGGAAGCTATCTTAGCTTTTTCCTCCAGATGACCGCAAAACTGGACGTCGCTAGATATATCGACGCCAAGAATCCCCAGACTCGACTTATTATCAAGGGAAGTGCCCTGAAAGTGAGGTGATACGACAAACGGTGTCTTTTTTGCGGTGAACGCGCAGACTTGTGTCTTCTTAGGGTTAAAGTGAACAAGATTGCGTTCACCCCAGATCGAAACTTTATCGAGTGAAGTTTCGATTTCAGACACAAGTCTGTTCCGAAGCTCATCGGTATGTGCCCGCGAGATCTTTGCATGACCGGTGTATAATGCATCTCCTGTGCTGTCGTCCGCATAACAATGAATATCACTGATCTGTAACATATCATTGATATGCAGAAGAAACAGTGTCGGAGATAGTACACAGCCTTGCG